CAAATATATATCTTAATTTACCAATATATCTAAACTGTATTTGGTAGTCTACATTCATTAAAAAAAATGAGATAATATTATTTATCTTCTGTGTTGTTTCTGGGACCCTATTCTGAAGGGGGGAAGGGGGGGGGGGAATAGATGAAAGTGGCCTAATAAGCATGTCGTAAAATTAGACTAATTAGGGTGCTTCCTCTGAGCACATTTACCTGAGAGGTGAGAAACCAACAGTCTGTATGTTGGTAAACCATATCTGCAAAGCAGATGTACATGTAAAATTAAGGCTCTGGAACAAGACTGAAGATCAAAGGTGGACAAACAGCTAGAAATTTCTGCTGCAGCTTATAGACGGTCAGTGCAAAGAAGAAGAAGAAGAGCAAGAACATACTTTTTATCTGAGCTGTTATACATTTCAGAATGCAAGATGACAACAGGCTGTAGTGCATGTTCAGAGCTTATTTAAAGTAATGTAAAAGATCCTTTTCAAAGCACTTGGTGCACTGGGTATAAGGTGTTTGACCCATATGTTTACAGACTAATCAGCATTCAATGGGTGATGTCGTCAACATCATACCAGCCACTTTTGCTTTCCGGGATATTTCCTGGTACTCATTTTCGACTATGTTGTTCTGTAGGCTAAGCTCAATTAAAAATCAGCCTCAGTTTTGAACCCAAGATCTTCAGGCTAGTAGACAAGGTCTAGTCCAGGGATTTCCAAACCAAGGTCGACACACAAAATAGGGTCACGAAGGGTTTTCTTTGGGGTCACTGATGAAAACAGAAATTTTAAAAAGAAATTTAAATTATTTTTCTTACTTTTAAAGAAGGTATACTGATTTCACTTCATGTGTATATTTCTACTGAATGTTTTCTATATGTAAAATATTATGCTTTTTATGTGTACATAGTGAATTTATTGCATACTTTAATTAGTAATGGCAAAGCAATATGCTACTATGTAAAACCACTTGGTTCGCTTATATATCATATTTTATGTAGCAATGATAAGTCCATGGCCGCTTGCTAGGCCTGTTGCAACTTCATCTAACATCTCTCTGGACACCTGAAGCAGTAAAAGAGGAAGCGAAGAAGAGGAAGAAGAAGAAATACAAGAAGAAACATTTGATTGCCTCTTAACAGTTAGATTTATTCTGCTTCTTTTTCTTCTTCATTGTAATCTGTTTCATATGCTCAGATCAGACCATCAGGCAGGTTGCCCATATGAACTTGCATATCAGCATAAGTTTCTTCATGGTTTCCAAATCTTGCTCTGCACACTTTGCTCTTGAGGCCAGGTGTCTTTTTAAAGCTGTAGCTAGAGTGGGCTCGTTGGCTGAATGGGCTCATGTGTTTTGTATGCCTTTCTGACATGCACACTATAGTCTTTATTTTATGCATGTGGTATTTAATAAGCCTTAAGTGTCTTGTTCTTAGAGGAAAAATGGTTGTATGTTGCCTTCTATTGAGTTTGCTGATGGGGTCTTGTGGATGTTTACTGTTAGTTTGTTCTTTCCACAATTCCTTGCATTCTCCCTTGATACAGCTAAATTTGATTTAAAAGTAAATAAGGCTTATAGCAGACAATACTAACACAAGAAAAGACAGGGTTACGAATACCACCATTAGAGAAAAAGTCGGAATAAGACCATGTCTGGATTATACTGACAGACAAAGAATGAAGTAGTTCAGCCATCTAGAAAGAATACAGCCAAACCAAACTGCGTATGATACTTTTTTACTGCAGAATATCTGGAAGGAAGGCAAGAGGAAGACCAAGAAACAGATGGATAAGTGGTGTAGCAGAAACCTGCAAAAAATGAACAAATTCATCACCTACGCCACCCAAGAAGCGCACAACAAATACAGAAAACCATGACACTGGGTGACAACCTGGTATCAGTCAGACGATAAAAGAAGAAGCAGACAACAGAAAAACAAAAGTATATCCACAAAAGAACTGACTTTAGGTAGACCAAGAGGCAGATCAAGAAAATAACTGACAGATAGTATAATAATTAGTAGACCAAACATTTGGTGTCACCAGCTGGAGAGAGAAGGAATCTCAGAGATGAATGGAGATGGGTAACATCTGAGGCAATGGACCTCAAGAAAAGGAAAAGAAGAAATAATTGAGATAAATCTTCTTCTTTATTGTGGCAGAAGTAGGAGCTTTGATCTTTCCTCTGGAGTACTTCTTTAATACAACCCATATTCCCCCCCCCCCCCCCAACTTCACCCCCCCCCCTTTTTTTTTTTAAACCTTGATGTTCTTTCAACAGCTATGTGCACAGCCAAATTGCTTTGCCCTTTAAAATAATGGCAACTTATCACAGATGTAATGCAAACATTTATAGAACAAATAGATCCACATATATGTATGTATGTATGTGTGTGTATATATGTATATATATTCATACACACACACACACACATATATATATATATATATATATATGTGTGTGTATATGTGTGTATGAATATATATACATATATATACATATATATGTGTGTGTGTGTGTGTGTGTGTGTGTGTGTGTGTGTGTGTATCAGATACTGACACATTCCATAAAGTAACATGAAAAATTTGAAATATTTTTTTTTGTTTAGTCATATGGAAATAAAATACTGACCAGACAAAATACATGAATTCTGGACGGATTAGAAGTTAGTCTGAAGAAATATTTCTCAAAACACATTAAAAATATGCAATTTGTACACATAACAATTAAAAATTAATAAGTATAATTTGACATACAAAGTAACATATGTATGTCCCACACTGCAGAGATTGTACTTTCGGTACCAAGTCATTTTCACAGTCGAAAATAACCCTATTAAAAATAACTACTCAATGACTTTCTAAGAAGATACACAGTTCAAGTAACCTTTTAGACCAGGAATGTCAAACTGGTGGCATACAGCTGGCTCTTTACAAGCACTCTTGTGGGTCACTGCGCAAAAGGAATATTCTGCAATAATATTTTTAATTAACTGGCTTTAATTAGTTGTCTTTTGTGGCCATCATGGCGACAAAATTTGACCTATATAGCCCTCGAGAACCCCCAGTTTGACATGCCCACTCCCCGTGTGGGTTCCGGGGCCCTACTGTGGGGAAAACAAGAATAGACCTATTGCCTCTCCAACAAGCATGTAATAGGAGTCGATTAACTGGGGACTTTCTTTCCAAGTTAGAGTACATCTGCCTGAGTGGCATGGAACTGTCAACTCTGGGGACTTTCTTTCGAAGTCAGAGTACACCTGCCCGAGTGGCAAGGAACAATCAACTGCATACAAATTAGTCGGTAAACCAGATGTATATGCAAAACATGCTCTGGCACAAAGCCAAAGTCCAAATGGACAAACAACCAGGACTTTCCACCAGAGCTCACAGCCAGTAAATAAAGAAGGAGAAGACATGCCCACCTTAGACAGTCATACTTTTTTTTTAAATGTTGTGATCAAATATAGTAAGTTTAGGAAATTATGACTAAACACAAGGGAGAAATAGCTACGCATGACACGTTTCTTGAGACCGAAAGAGTTCCGAGGGAAAGTCCATCAGTCTTGCTTCAATGGATGCTAGTCCTTTTCAGGGTCCAAATCTCCTGAACATGAAAGCCTTAAAACTCAGACTCGCAGAGGATTTATTGAATTCTTATCTTGGTAAATCGATGTGCACTGTTAAAGGAGAGTTGGCACAGAACTAATACCGAATTTTATTATTAGGCAACATATCAAATGGCTTGGCCATGCAACAGGATTGGCAACAGACAGGGCACCACAGACAGCAATGATATACAGATACAGCGGTAAAGAGCCAGAGGTCGACCATACAGAAGATGGACTACACAATATCAGAGACACTGAAAAGTGCTATATAAGAAGCGGAAAAAAGGCCTGTTCCAGAGATCTCTTCCTATCCTGACGCAGCAAGGCATTCCAGGAATAGAGAAAGGAAGAAACAGAAGAGTGTTGACTGACTGTTCTCTACCTCAGGGCAGCTACCTGAGGGTCTGACATTCTGAAATTATAAAATCTCAACCTGGATGGCAGACCAACAGGTCAAATCCTATATACCCTGTTAAACATACAAAGAAGTTATATTTAGGGCACTTATAAGGAAAATACTAGTCTGGTTTCATCTGCGGGTCTATGCAGGTAAGGATATGGGTGATGTCTTATGTAAGCTGTTTATTATTAACTATGTCCACAAAACACAGAAGTTGATAATTTATTTTCTCAGATTGAGACTAGCGATTTGTCAGACACAAATTTCAGTACACAAATAATCTGTGAAATATCTGACAATAAAACTTCAAGATAGTTAGCAACATTAACTAAAATCTTTCTATCAGTCAGGTCCTTTGCAGTCTGGGTCTTTTGTTCATTCATAGCATGCCTGAAATTTCTCTTGCCCTATTTGCTTTCATGGCCAATGCATCTTCATTGCCTTTTATCTACCTTTAAGGAGGTCTGTCTCTGCATTGTTTTCCGGAAACTGTAGCATCAATCACCATTCTCTCCAGGCTACCATGGATTTTAACATGCCCCCAATTCCTCCAGTTTCAGGACAGGATGTTGTTTATGAGCCAATTCTCCTCGATGCTCACATTATGTAGGGTGTGGATGTTTTCAAATCATTAAGGGATATACAGTTTAAAAAAAATAGACCCAAACAACTACACTATGGATCTGAGAAAAATGAGACACAGAAAGTTAAAAATAGAGTATGTAAATATATAACTAGACACACCTGATTCCTTTTAAAGCTACAGACAAAAAGTTTTAATATTAAATAAAATTATATAAAACTTACTGTTTAGTAATTTTTTTTTCTTCAAAACCCATCAATATTTTGTTCACATTTTTATCAATTAAGTAAATCAGAATTAATAAAATTAAGTGATCTGCTGTCGCTACTACATCAAAAATATTTTACAAGTATTTTTAGGCTAAGATTATAGCCTCAGATCTGATAGGCATGTCAACAAGTCTTCGATCTATCTTTGAGGAAAACCTGGCTTGCGTTGAATGTTCTGTTTGGCTTGTCCAAGAGCAACCTGGCGTGCATTACTTCCAAATTCGAGCGTGTTGCATGTCTCTGGGAAGTTACTTGCATCAGGGCTGACATTCACAAACAAGCAAGCCTGAAAACAATATTTGTGTAATGAATAATTAAGTTACCTGTACTTTAGTGGCTGTAAATATGTAATGAGAATGAACCCAATGATATCAGCAGCAAGAGCATAAAAAGTAAAAAGTAAAGTAAAGATCCCTTTTCACGCCTTTCGGCGCATCGGGCATATGGGCAGAGCGTCCCATATTTTTACAAACCATCAGCACTGTGGGTAATGTGGTCAGCAATACGCCGGCTGTCTTTACTTTCCCAGGACAGCCCATCCTGGTACCCATTTTAGGCTGGGTCGACCTGCGACGTCCCATACCACGACAAAAATCCACGCAGCCTGCAGTGGGTTTCGATCGCGGAATGCTGGCTTACGAGTTGGACTCGCAACGCCTTAGCCACGGACACCACCAGCAAGAGCATACAACATGAAAAATGAAACACTAAGAGGCAGAACTATATTAAACGAGTCACCAACATCTTAAGACCTCACAACAACACAGCATATCAAGCATCTGGACGTTTGAAGTTTGAACAACAGATTAACATCATGGCACATGGGTAGTAATCCATAAGTGCTCCGTTCTTTTTCTAACTCAAGTCTGAGACCGAAGAAGCTCAGCACAGTGTACAGGCTCTGTAGCACCAGTGGGGATCCTGAAATACTCTGGGTGGATTTTTAACTCCAAATTTTGCCTGGGCAGAGCCGTTAGGCTACTCTTTTTGATTTCCAACTGTCAAAGGATTTTTTAATGTGTGCAACAATGCACATGGGCGTCCCATCTCACTACCTAGAGACCAGGGAGGGAATTACTGGAAGTCCAAATTCACTTATAAAAATTTCAGCCCTTCATGGGGATTGAACCTGGAACCTCTAGCACTCGAGGAGGACACCATGCCTCGAGACCACAGCCCTGGCTTTGCTATCTACCATCTGTTTACTCTTTAAATCCTAAAAAACTCGCCATGCATTTCTTGGCCATTCTGAAAAATATCTTATATTCTTTCTGCTTTCTATTACACACATATGTTAATTAACCATCTGTGCCTAAATTATTAGAACTACTCACATCCTAAAATATCAGTCAAACCCAAAATGTTACTGCTTTTAAGTAGGGCCAGATGCTGTGCTATAGTGGAAGTTACTATCTGCTCTGTTGTCTACCGATAAAGTCCAATATTGGTTCTATGCCGAATCTACTCTTGATATCATCGTTCCTAAGTTGATCTTACACCTAGCATAGTAGGTAAACATTTCATTTTTCTCATGGCTATTCTTCTTCTACAATGAACAAACAACTGAAAAAACGTATCAATTCTTTGGAGATGTGGATATACAGAAGATTATGCCGTAGAAACAAAAGCTATCAAATACAGAGGTACTGAGGAAATTGGGAATGAAAAGAGAGTTGCTAGGTGAAATAAAAAAGAGACAAGTGAAATATTTTGGCCACATTAAAAGACATAACAGTATTGTAAAGATCATCCTAGAGGGAAAGGTTCAAGGTAGGCGAGCAAGAGGCAGACAGCGTTACAAGTGGGAGGATAACATCAAGAGATGGACGAACAGCAGTACGAGTGAGTGTACAACAAGGGCAAGAGACAGGGCTTGTTGGAGATCCATTGCAGCCAACCTTCATTGTGGAGACGGCACCTGATTGATTGATTGATTCTTCTTCTGAAGTCAAACTGTTTCCCTTCTGTCTTCTGCAGTCTGGCTAATTTCTTTCCGTCTTCTGAAGTCTGACTAATTTCCTTCTGTCTTCTGAAGTCTGACTATTTTCCTTTTGTCTTCTGAAGTCTGTCTATTTTTCTTCTGTCTTCTGAAGTCTGTCTATTTTTCTTCTGCCTTCTGTCGTTTGACTAATTTTCTTTCATCTTTTGAAGTCTATATTCCTTCTGACAGGTAAACTGCTCAAAATAAGAACCAGGAAATGGCCAAGGAAGTAAAGACTGCTAGTCTGATACTGAAAACATTGAGTTATGTGTATAAAAATATAGACCTTCTACACCAGGGAGTTGCCATGGTGTACTTGCTAGACATTCACCTCGGTCCAGAAGGTCGTGGATTCAAATTTGCATCAAGCCAGATTTTTTTTTTTTAAATGAAATTGGTTCCAAGATTGCCCCAGGATAAAATAGGTACCAAGTAAAAGTCACGAGAAATAAAGGCGGCCGGAGTGATGTTGATCACATCATCCACCGAGTGCCAGTTGGTCTGTAAAATAAAGGTGCAGCACTATATACCCAATGTGCCTAAGGGCATGGAAAAGGGTTCTTTATTTTTACCCTACACAGTAACAAACAAGCCAAACAAACAATTTCTTCACACCTAGGAAATGTGGATTTACAGAAGAATTCTTATAATTGTAATGGACACACACACACACCCACGCCCATGCACGCGCGCACGCACACATGCACATGCACACACACACACACACACACACACAAAAAGAACAGCAACCCAGACGTTTTGAAAGAGGGGAGAACTCCAACACAGCTTATCACAAACAACAGAAAGAGGCAGTCATCATTTTTTGGTCAAGTTATGAGAAGGGGGAAAGTGGAACATGTTGTGACCACTGGAAAGATCTATGGAAAAAAAGAGACAGAGGAAGACAACATGAGAAAATTCTTGACAGCCTTTTGCCATGGCATGGAGGGGTATCAACACATTAACTGACACAAGCTGATGAAGATCACAGATTGTGGATAGGCATGACCCCCCCCCCCCCACCCCCACCAATAGGCAAGGTATTTGATAATGATGATGGTGATGATGACCATACACATCAAAGCATCAACAAAAACAAAAAAATGCTCTGAAGTTTTACTTTGATTATTAACTGTGAAGCTTCAATACAAGATTAATGACACCATACCTTAGCGTCACCGCCAAGGCACGGTTTTAATATCTGGGTCAGTTTGGAGTTTCTGTAGGGGATGTGCAGCTGGCTCTCCCTTAAAGCCGAGAACACCTTCGACCAGAAAACATGAGACAATATTAAATATGCACAATCAAGTTCTCTTTAAAGTAAGTAAGTAAAATAAATTAAAGGACTCTTTTCCACGCCAATAGGCGTATAGGACATATAGGGCTTCACCTATATTTTCATAGACCAATCGGCACAAGATGGGTGATGTGGTCAACATCACGCCGGCCGCCTTTACTTCCCGGGACTGCACCGGGTACCCACTCAAGGCTCGGTCGACCTGAGAGCCAAGGTCATTTTTAAAAAAAAAGTCTGACTCCGCCTGGGAGTCAACCCACGACCTACCGATCCACGGCGAGCATCCAGCTGCTCTGCCACAGGGACTCCCAAGTACTCTTTACAGACTGAAAATTTTGAGTAAATGACCCTTCTTAATCTCTTGGTTTGTGGCCCTAATCCAGTATTTATAAATCAATCATTACTTTAAAAGAGTCGGCTACCTTTACTTTCAAGGATTCCCCATGTGGGTTCCGGGGTCCTGTTGTGTGGAAAGCAAGAACAGACCCACTGCCTCCCCCAAGAAGTATGTCGTAAGAGTTGACTAACTGGGGACTTCCTTCGAAGATGGAGTGCATCTACCTGAGAGGCAAGGAACTAACAATCTGCATACAAATAAGTCAGATCTGTAAACTGGATGTGCACATAACACTCAGGTTCAGAACAAGACTAAAATCCAGAGATGGACAAACAACCAGAACTTTCCGCTGGAGTTTACAACCAGTGAGCGTGAAGAAAAAGAACAAGAAATGCTTCAGTGAAGCATAACATCATTTAACCAAATCTCAATTTCTAATTTCAAACATAATACACACTAGACTTAAGAATTATTTAACTAAACTATTTCAAGGGTGTATAGTCAGCATCTGTGGCTTAGGCATTGCAAACTCGCTTTATAATCCAGGGGTGCTGGGTTTGATCCCAGCTGCAGACGATTTGTCTTGTTGGTTTCAACATTTGTACCGAGAGCTGATTGTTCAGAGGCAATGGAAAACTACAGAACATAAAATTTGCCTAGAAAAACCACAGCAGCGCCAAAACAAAAATGCTGGGGGTTGGTTCTGCAACGTCCTTTAAAAGGGAAACACCATGAGAGACAACCTGGCATAGCAGCTAGACACTCACCTGCGGATATGAAGGTCACTGGTTCAAATATGAACAGAACTTGACTTGTATAAAAAACAAAAAACTTGGCTCCCAGGTTGACCCAGGCTTGAGTGGGTAATAGGTAAATTTATGGAAGGTAAAGACGGATGGCGTGACATTGACCACATCATCCACCCGGTGCCGATTGATCTATAAAATATAGTTCTAGCAATATATGTCCAATACGCCTGAAGGTGTGGAAAAAAGTATTTTACTTCGCTTTAATTTTTAGATCTAAATGGACTTGCATCTTTCTCTTTTTTCACAGACAGACACACAAAACACAATAGGGAGTTTAACATGATTGTTTGTTTATTCAATGGATCAACATCATGGAACACGGATGTAACCCATTAGTGCTCCGTTCTAGTTCTAACTTAGGCATGAGTCGGAAGAATCTCAGCGCAGTGAACGAACTCTGTTGCACCAGCAAGGATCCTGAAATACTTTGGGTAGCTTTTTAACTGCAAATTTTGCCTGGGCTGCGCTGTTAGACTACTCTTTTTCGATTTCCACCTGCCAAGGGATTTTTTCTGCGCTTAACAATACACACAGCGTCCGGTCCTACCACCCAGAGAGCAGGGAAAATTACTAGAAGTCCATGTGAACACAATCCTAGTTCCCTAGGGATTTTAGAATGTTACCACCAGGGAATCTAGCCTCTGCCTGAACATATTGCCCATGGGATTACTTTCATTATGTCCCCACAGCTACTCTGATTCCAGTGTAGGCAGGGGGTCTTTGAGCCTGAAGATTTACCGCCGCATGGCTAGTGCTGTCGACACAACTGTGCAGGTGAGGATTTCATTTTGCCTGAGCAAAAAATCCACAGCCTTACCGAGGATTCGGACGCCGGTCTCCCGCTTGAGAACCCAGCGTTCCAACCTATCGGCCAGCCGCTCCTCGGTCAGCTCTAAAGTGAGATTAAAATGCATTAAATACTAGAACCTGGATGAAAGCTACTTAAAAACATTTCAGGCTCAAACTTCCCCCATCCAGGGCCCCATGGAGGAGGGGGCAGAAAAGACCAACTACCCGCCCACCCTCTCCCCAACAGGCATGTCATACACAGCGATTAATAAGGGATGTTTAACAGGCAAGGAACTTAAAGTCTGCATATAAATATACAACAGGCAAACAGGTTAAATCTGTAAATGTATGTGCAAGCAACACTCAAATTCTGGAACAGGGACCAAAGTCCAGAAGCTGATGAACAACCAGAATTTTCCACAATAGTTTACAGCCGGTGAATGTAAAAAGAAGAAGAAGAAAAAGAGAACTCATCAGTCATCTTCATACTCACAATCACTGATCATCACTACTTTCAGATGTAGAGTTGTCTTTATCTCTTGTGATAAAGGAACAACAACACAGTCATACTAGAACTAACCTGTCCCAGTGCCGACAGGGATTTGTTTATGGCGGCAGCCTCTACCAGCCTTTGACCTGTGGCTTCTGATTTGCTTATTCTCTCTGACCCAGCAAGGTCACATAAGGTCAGCACACCTTTAGAGATGGCACCAGTAACTTTGTCTTCTCCTTCAACAGTTAACATGAGGACCAAGTGAGACCGGGAGCTGGTAAACAAAGTGCAATGGGATTTTGAAAAATAAATATGAAACTGATAGTTGTTAAATAAAGTACATTACAATTTTTACCAGCAATTTGCAGCTAATTAAAGAAACAAACTAAATTTCTATCTGAGATTGGCTTTTAGTAAAAGAAACAAACTAAACCTTTATCCTAAACTGGCAGACAGTAAAAGAAACAAACTAAACCTTTATCCTAAACTGGCAGCCAGTAAAAGAAACAAACTAAACCTTTATCCTAAACTGGCAGCCAGTAACAGAAACAAACTAAACCTTAATCCTAAACTGGCAGCCAGTAAAAGAAACAAACTAAACCTTTATCTGAAACTGGCAGACAGTAAAAGAAACAAACTAAACCTTTATCCTAAACTGGCAGCCAGTAAAAGAAACAAACTAAACCTTTATCTGAAACTGGCAGACAGTAAAAGAAACAAACTAAACCTTTATCCTAAACTGGCAGCCAGTAAAAGAAACAAACTAAACATTTAACTGAAACTGGCAGGCAGTAAAAGAAACAAACTAAACATTTAACTGAAACTGGCATACAGTAAAAGAAACAAACTAAACATTTAACTGAAACTGGCAGCTAATAAAAGAAACAAACTAAACCTTTATCCTCAACTGGCAGCCAGTAAAAGAAACAAACTAAACATTTAACTGAAACTGGCAGCCAATAAAAGAAACAAACTAAACCTTTATCCTAAACTGGCAGCCAGTAAAAGAAACAAACTAAACATTTAACTGAAACTGGCAGCCAGTAAAAGAAACAAACTAAACTTTTATCCTAAACTGGCAGCCAGTAACAGAAACAAACTAAACCTTCAACTGAAACTGGCAGCCAGTAAAGAAACAAACTAAATCTTTAGCTGAAACTGGCAGCCAGTAACAGAAACAAACTAAACCTTTATCCTAAACTGGCAGCCAGTATAAGAAACAAACTAAACCTTTATCTGAAACTGGCGGCCAGTAAAAGAAACAAACTTAACCTTTATCCTAAACTGTCAGGTAGTTAGTCCACACCAAACTCTTATCTGTGATTCCGAAAATCTGTCCAGCAGGTTGTAACGACAACAACATTCGGCAAAGGACTTGATACCTAATAATTACTTCTTCTGTTTAGTTCAGTCACTAAAAATATCAGCCAAATTTGGTAACTGCTACATGCTTTAGTGGCATTTAAACAGACATCCTTGGTTTGACACTAATTTATATTTTATTTGCAAAAAAACTTTTGAATTTTTCATGTCGTTGTTGCGATTAACCTTAGACGGCCAGAGTAACTAACAACGATTGCTTGAAAGAAGCTAATGAAAGTAAAACTCTATATACAACAATAAGAAAGAGACAAATACTGTGCTTTCAACTCTACAAAAGCATCATTTTGCCAGTTCTTCTTTATGGAGCGGAATGCTGGAGAATGACCAAAAAGGATGCACACAAGCTGCCCACCTTCAAACACACAATGTCTACGTAGAATTATCAAAATTTTCTGGCCAGATAAAATCTCAAACACTAAACTACTTCAAGTCACAAACCAAGAAACTTTAGACAGTATGATAACCAAGAGAAGATGGAAATGGCTTGGCCACGTTATGAGAATGAATCCTGATATACCTGCCAAAACAGTTCTTACACGGACATCAGAGGGAAAGAGAAAAAAGGGGAACCCAAAAACGACATGGAGACGAATGATGGAAAGTGACCTGAGTGCGGCATCTTTGACATGGAAAACTGCACTGAAGATTGCAAAGATAGGAAAGCATGTAAAGTCCTCTCTGAAGCCTCATGTGCCACTAGGCATAACGAGAACTGATGATGATGATGATGAAACACTGTTCTTTGGCCACATAATGAGAAGAGAGACATTGCAGAACATTGTGACAACTGGAAAGATCAGTGGAAAAAGGGGTAGAGGCAGACCAAGAGAGAAGATGCTGGATAAGCTGAAACTATGGCAGGGAGGAATATCATCAAGAGAGCTGTTCCAGGCAATCAGGAATTGTGATTTGTAGAGGCTTGAGCGCCTATGCCAGTTGGTAGGGCACATGATGATGATGATGTTGCAATGAGTTACCTGGATGAATTCATTTTTGTCGAGGCAGTTTTCCTGTTACTGTCACCTTGCTGCATAACCCTTTTAATGTCCTTGACATGGTTTACCGGAACTTCTGTAATGTTTGGGATTTTCACAATATTCCCAATAATTTGAATTTCCAGGGTTTTGGCATCGTCTGTCAACAAGTCCTGGACTGTTTCATTGTAAATCTCTACCATTGAAATCTGAAATATAAACCCGTCCATGAAAATTTAACTCTTTCAAACCTAAACAACAAAGTTATGAGTTAGATTATCTTCACAGCACTCCGGACACATCCATAGGTGCTCAGATTCCCCTCTCAACATTTTCATCAGCATTATGCGGTTAATAGTTCCTTTGCTGGTTGACAAGACTTCATGTACATCTGGTGTGCTTCTCATGCTTGGCTGTGCCGATCTTTACTCCAAGTTCTTGTATTATTAGCAGTGATGTGGACACGTTGCTTCCAAAATCCTCAGAACGTCCTATCTCTATAAAGGCAATGACAATGTCTGTGTGATCCCTGGGCCAGCCATCTTCAATTAATGCAGCACCTGCCAGTCTATCAGACCTAAAGAACTAACCATCCCTTTCTGTATCAGTTCAAAGACAATATAATTGACCAGCTGTCTTCTATCACAGAGGAATGTTATATTATTCCTTATTGTCTAGATTTTCTTCTTTTTCATCTCATCTCACTGATACCAGGCTGCAGCCCAGTGTCGTGGTTTTGCCTTCTCACTGATACCAGGTTATAGCCCAGTGTCATGGTTTTGTCTTCTCACTGATACCAGGTTATAGCCCAGTGTCGTGGTTTTGTCTTCTCACTGATACCAGGTTATAGCCCAGTGTCGTGGTTTTGTCATCTCACTGATACCAGGCTGCAGCCCAGTGTCGTGGTTTTGTCTTCTCACTGATACCAGGTTATAGCCCAGTGTCGTGGTTTTGTCTTCTCACTGATACCAGGTTATAGCCCAGTGTCGTGGTTTTGTCATCTCACTGATACCAGGCTGCAGCCCAGTGTCGTAGTTTTGTCTTCTCACTGATACCAGGTTATAGCCCAGTGTCATGGTTTTGTCGTCTCACTGATACCAGGCTGTAGCCCAGTGTTGTGGTTTTTTCTTCTCACTGATACCAGGCTGTAGCCCAGTGTCATGGTTTTGTGAAAGTCTCAAATGCAGTTTGGTCTGGCTGCATTCTCACTAGATGGCCAAACCATTTCATTCTTTTTCTGTCAATATAATCCAGACATGGTCTTATTCTAACTTGCTCTCTAATGCTGGTATTCCTAACCCTGTCTCTTCATGTTTTGTTTTTCTCAAGATAACTAGTTTAATTTCTAATGTCTCAGAGTGCGAGGGAATGAAAGAGCGGTTTTTCTGGCAACGCAAGCGATAGCATGTGTAAGAATGTGTGAACGAGGAAATAGGAGTGGACTGGCAAAGGGGGACGTATGAGAGGAAAAGAATGACGTGTGTATGATCAGAGTGCTCTGGAAACAGGTAGCATCCGCACCTTAAAACATTTGCTGCAAGAGACAGAGCATCAATGGGTATGCCCAGTGTGCTAAAATGTTGATTCTTAAATCAGTAATCAGTGCCTATGTTGAACTCAAACTATTTGTTGACAAATTATATACTGTCAAATTATCCACTGTCAAATTATTTATTGTCAAATTATTTATCATCAAATTATTTATTGTCAACTTATTTATTGTCAAATTATTTTTTTGTCTGTTTATTGTCAACTTATTTTTTGTCAAATTATACACTGTCAATTTATTTATTGTCAAATTATTTATTGTCAACTTATGTATTGTCACCTTATTTATTGTCTATTTATTCATTGTCAACCTATTTATTGTCAAATTATTTATTGTCACCTAATTTATTGTCACCTTATTTATTGTCATCTTATTTATTGTCAAATTATTTATTGTCAAATTATCGAATTATTTATTGTCAAACTATTTATTGCTTTAAAGATACACACTCTGAAGCAGAAGGAGTTAAAGTTACCACTGTTTGGTACTGAAGGAGTTTAAAAAATAAAGTTCAGTGAATGGAACTTTTCCTGCTGTTTTTACTTTCAGTTTCGGACCAGTTAAAAAGAACCATGCAATCCTAAATGCTCTGGTGCAGAATTATAGCCTGGCATATACAGTGGGGACAGTCAAAAGTTAGCGAAGCAAAACTGAAAAACAAAATGCCTATCAAAATTGGATGACCAGAGCTGCAGTTTTGGCATAAAAGAGCAACCTCAATCCCTGTATGATGATATCATGATTTAGCACACAAGTCTTTAAAAAAAATATAGTAATAATTGTAATCTCAGAAAATTTTCAAATATTTGTGAAAGTTTTGAGGTTTCAAGGTTTTGAACAATGGATCAACATCATGGCACATGGGTAGTAACCCATAAGTGCACCGCTCTACTTATAACTCAAGTCTGAGTCCGAAGAAGCTCAGCAAAGTGCACATGCTATGTAGTACCAGAGAGGATCCTGAAATACTTTGGGTAAATCTTTTAACTACAAAGTTTGCCCCAGCAGCACTGTTAGGCTACTCTTTTCAATTTCCAACTGCAAAGGGAATTTTTACCTGCGCAACAATGCACACAGGCTTCCAATCTCACTACCCAGAGACCAGGCGAAATTACTAGAAGTTCAAGTCCACGTGAAAAAATCCCGGCCCTTACCGGTTTTGAGCACTTGAGGCAGACCCCCATGCCTCGAGACCACGCAGTCCCCCATATTTGTGACACAGGTAGCTCTGTAGTTAACAAGGAGCTATTGCTAGTCATTCTCAGTCTAAACTTAATCACTTATTTTCATCTTTCCAGTTAGCTCCAACAATGACAATTATTCAAGACTGAGGCAGGAAAAATGCTCCAACATACTGAGAGAATAAATACAATCTAGAATACAGTCTGGAAATAAAGTATATTATGCCCTTTAACATCTGCTAAAATCAAAGTGTCTGTCTCGCAACACTAAGATCAAAATATATGGCGGTGTGTTAGATGTAGAGGTGTTTCAGTAATCAAAGACACGTTGACGATCAGTTTATTTTGGAACATGAACTATAAACATCCACCCGACCCTCCTACCCAAGCTTGTCTTGTGTCAGCTGTGCTTGGCTTGAGAACTGTGATCAGACATGACTGGCACGCATAACTTCCTAGATATAACTTCACACCAATTTCCGGTTAAAATGGACGCTAGAAAGCGGCGCCGTTCAGAACAGAGGCAAATTTTTTGCTTCTGCCGGACGGTGGCCGATGCATTTTTGCTCCATTTGTAGACTGGATATAGTTTCGTCGCCCAGCTTCTGAGTTGAATGTGTGGCGTGACCCTGTGAGCTGCGGATTGCATTTGGAATATTTTTTTTCGACTGTGACCAACGTGGTGGTGTGAATTGTAGATTCAGAAAATGGCGCGATGCCTGTCGTTCAATGCTTGCGGGACCCCTATTAAAATTGATCACGCGGACAACTGCTGATCTGTTGACGACAAGTTCTGCTATCATCAATGATGAACTGCATTTTTAATGTTGGACTGTATGTGTTAGCACTTCGGATGGCTACCATATGCTTTAATGCGAGTGTATGCTAGATATGCTGAGACAGCAGTCTGTCAATCTTTCCACAAGGGACTGTGATAGACATTCTGAGTGTTTTTCGCTGGCACAGGAGCGGAGCAAAGATGGGGCAACCCGTTTGCTATGAAGCTGAAACTAAGACTACCAGACTACCAGATTGGGGCATATTGAGAGAATGTCAGATGACAGAGAAGTGAAAACTGTATACACAAGGGAGATGAATGGTCCTAGACCACGAGCTAGACGATGGAGAGATAATGTCCAGACAGACTTGCAAACACTTGGTGTCACAATTGGAAAGAGAAGGCCAACCAGAGAGATGAATAGAGGCGGGTGATATCTGTAGCAATGAACCTCAAGGGCTCGGAATGCTGAGGAAGAAGAAGAAGAGGGGGAAACATAGGCAGACTGTTAATCAGGTTGCAGTTGGTATTACTGGCATGTCAACTCTGTTTGATTCTGAAGAAGGGGACAGAGCAGGTGTGGGAATGTTTCGAGTGCAGTGATGTCAGTTCTTGATTCATTCATTCATTTAATGACAAATGAAAAAAAAAATAAAACATAACAAGCAGTTACATACCTTTAATGTGTACGTTTTTGTTTCTCGTCTTTCTTCACAAATTTTCAATAGCTCTGAGATTGCTCTATTCATGAATATATTACAGTAACCCTCATTAACATGAACATACTTAAGAAGAACACTTGGTTAACATGAACACAATGTTTTTCCCCAGCAGTGATGTATTATTTCTTCAAGTACATGTTTATCAGTGAACAGATTTACAACAGTTTTTAGTCTATTGCATTACCAGATCTAATTTAACCTGAACTTCCACAGTAAAAGTAAGTAAGGACCCTTTTCCACGCCTTCAAGTGTATTGGGTATACAGGGCTAGACCTAAGACCAATCGGCACTGGTTGGTGATGTGGTCAACATCCGCCGGACACCTTTACTTTCCAGGACTTTACCTGGTACTCATTTAAGGCTGATTCAACCTAGGAGCCAAGGTCTTTTTGAACAACAACAAAATGTCTAGCTCTGTCAGGACTTGAACCCATGACCTTCAGATTTGCAGGTGAGCATCTAGTCACTACACCATGGTGCCCCCCCCCCCACGCCCCCAAAGCTGTTCAAAATTTGTCTCCTTTCTGTTGTTTCTGATAGGTATGTGGGAAATGAGGTTGAAAGTTAACCATAGTTAAATTCACGTTATTTAGGTGCTTGAACTAAGAGTTATTCCTTAGGGTTTACTGAGGTAATGATACAATCTTCAGAAATGTGATATGTTACAGACAAATAGAGTCAATAAATTCAAATATCTGGGAACAATCATATCATCAGATGGAAAATGTGTGACAGAGATTAAAAGCAGAATAGGTCAGGCAAACGCTGCATTTCAGAAAATGAAAAATATCTTATTCAATAAATCTTCTTCTTCTTCTTCTTCTTCACTTCCTCTGTTACCGCTGTGGGTGTCGAGTGAGATATAAGGTTCTGTCTCTAGCTCTTCTGGCAGCCTCGACCATAGGCACATCGTGCTGTTGAAGTGTTTCTCTGATGTTATCCTTCCATCTTGTTCTTGGTCTACCTCGTGCTCTACGTCCTTCTTCTCTTTCCATGTATGCTTTGTATGTTAAGGTATCACAAGGCATTCTCTTTAAGTGGGCAAACCATTTCACCTGCTGTCTTCGTATGTAATTTAGAATTGGTTCTGTGCAGACTTTTTCTCTTATGATCTCATTCCTGATCTTATCTCTTATGGTCACTCCTACAGCCCTTCTCAGACATCTCATATTTTATGGTTTGTTGTGAGTGACTATATCTGGCACTCGTAGCACAAAGTTGGAATAAATATGCTTTGAATAAGATGTCTCTTTGTGCTGATTGGGATTGTCTTATGCTGTAAGAGGGGGGCTAGCTGTCCCAATTCTTGGTTTGCTTTACTGCATCTAATGTTAATTTCTTTATCCCATTTCTCATCTTCGGTAAATGTAGTTCCCAGATATTTAAACTCAGGTGCCTGTTTAATGCCTTTGCACTCTATTGCTATGTTTAGATCTGTCTTCTTTTTTCCTGTTGACATTACTTCTGTCTTTTCAGTGTTGATTCTCATATTATTTGTTTTACATTCTTCATTCATGGATGTTAGATGTTGTTGCAATTTCATGGCTTTATCTGCTATCAAGGCCTGGTCATCTGCAAAGAGTAATTCGTTGATCTTACTAACATTTTCATTCATGGGCTTGGCATTCTTGCATAAACTGTCGATGTAGGTGATAAACAGCAGTGGTGATAAGACACACCCCTGTCTTACTCCAGATGTTACTGTGAATGGATGAGATGTTCCCTGATTTATTCTAACTACACTTCTACAATCTCTGTATAAACTTTAGCACACTTTGATGAGATGTTCGCTTACTCCATATCTTGCCATTACTTTCCATAATAATTGTCTGTCGACTCTGTCAAATGCCTTCTCTGGTCTACGAATGCCACAAATAAGTTCTTATTGTATTCAATGTCCTTTTCTATTAACTGTTTAAGTGTGAAGATTGCATCTGTGAAGCTTCTATTTCTTCTAAATCCAATCTGTTCTTCTGCCAGCTGTGGTTCTATCACTGGTCTCAGTCTTGTTTCTATTATCTTGGCATACATTTTGCCAACATGGCTTAAAAGAGAGATGCCTAGGCATGGACCGCATTCTCATTTATTTCCTTTGTTCTTCCACAATGGTATAACTATTGCATGTTGCCAATCAATAGGGGCAGTTTGTTGTACCCATGCTGCATTAAATATTGCAGCTCATATTATCTGTATTCAATAAATCGCTCTCATTTAATGTCAGAAAAAAGGTGCTAAAATGTTACATAGAACCTGTTCTGTTGTATGGCAGCGAATCTTGGAATGTCAGTGAACAAATTAGGAAGAATTTAAAAGCAACAGAGATGTGGATTCTGAGACGAATGTTACGAATACCTTGGACGGCCAGAGTAGCTAACAATGATTGCTTAAAATAAGCTAATGAAAGTAGATCTCTATATACAACAATCAGAAAGAGACAAACACTGTTCTTTGGCTACATAATGAGAAGAGAGACAACGGAGAACATTGTGACAACTGGAAAGATCAGTGGAAAAAGGGGTAGAGGCAGACCAAGAGAGAAGATGCTGGATAAGCTGAAACGATGGCATGGAGGGATATCATCAAGAGAGCTGTTCCAGGCAACCAGGGATCATGATTTGTGGAGATGCATAAGCGCCTACGTCATTTGGCAGGGCACATGATAATGATGACAGACAAATGAAACTGAATGAACAACATAAATAATCCCATAACTCTGCAAATTATAGGGCAACAGCTGAAGATACCATGCGGCTGGTGGCCTAAGTCGAGCAATTGCACAGGAGGTAGGGATGGGTAGACACAACACCCACAACAGCAGTCTCCATCAGGTCATTACCAAATTAGGTAGAGAATGTAGAGAGTGCTGTAACGGTATGGCAGAATTAGAGGAGAAACAACTGAAAAAATAAATTGCTGGACTAGATGATGCAATTGTGTTCACCGATGGTTCTGTTCATCAGGGTGTAAGATCTGGCTGCGGATTTTTAGTAAGACTGAAGGGAAAACTTGTGGCAGAACAAAATGGAGTTTTTTTACCTACAACTTCAAGCATGAGGATGGAGGTGGTTGCAATCACTGCAGCTCTGATGTGAATAGCAGGGAAAAAAAGAGTTATGAGAGGGACTACAGAATTTGATTCTCAGTCAGCACTGAGAAAGTTTCTAAATGGACAAATGTGGCATGAGTGGATACCAAGCAACAGCATGTCAAAATTACAGGGACTCACGTGGATAAAGTGTCAGGGATATACAGTGTGAGGAAATGAAAAGGTGGATCTTCTGGGTATAAAAGCGATAGCTACGAGAAAACTTGTCCTGGACAAGGGAGACATTCTGAAAACCATTAATGAAAAAATACTGAAGAGGACAAGAGGTTAGATGAAACAACATGTGTAAGAATTTGAGAAAATAGGAGTGGATCTGGCAAGAAGGGACATATCAGAGGAAGAGAATGGCATGTGTGTAAGCAGTATGCTGCGGGAACAGTTAGCATCTACACCTGAAGACATCTGCTGCGGTAAACGAAGCCCGGTGTGCTATGATGTCGATTCTTAAATAAGTAAATCAGTAATCAAGGTCACTAGCTGCTGTTGACTGTCTGATCATTAGCCTAGGGGGCTGTGTGGTCTTGAGTAATGGTGTCCACCTCAAGTGCTAGAGGTTCCGGATTCAATCCTCGGTAAGTGCTGGGATTTTTTCATGTGGTCTTGGACTTCTAGTAATTCTCACCAGTCTCTGGTTAGTGAGATTGGACGCCTGTGTGTATTGTTGTACACATAAAAAAAAATCCCTTGGCAGTTGGAAATTGAAAAGAGTAGCCTAGCGGTGTCGCCCAGGCAAAATTTTTAGTTAAAAATCTACCCAAAGTATTTCAGGATCCTCTCCGGTTACTACCCATAAGCCATGATGTTGATCCATTGTTCAAATCTTCAAACTTTCTGATCATTTGCCTCTGTTTGTCTGATCCAATGGACTTAACGTTCACATATTTCAGGCTTGTCCATTCAGCCAAATTGTGTATCCAGTTCTGCTTGCTCTGCCTCTTCTCCTCATCCCCTCGACAGAGAATGGTAGTACCATTTTGGAGAGACCAGTAGATCTTGTTACATGTATCTACCATTTCCCTGTTGTTAAAAGAGGTTTACAGCTGCTAATGTGTTGAGTGATGAAATGATAAGCCTTTGAAAAGATATAATTCTCAGTGCTTGTATTTTCCTTTCAAGTTTAGATATTAGTGTCCACGTGTCACAGTTGTTTATATATGTTTGAACAAAGAGACACAAATAACAGACTGCACAATTTATTGCTAGCATATTTTGCTCTATCTAGTCAGGAGCATACTACTGATAAAAATGAAGAAAATAAAAGAATCCTACAAACTAAAAATAAAATCAACTATATTAAAAAGTAGCCTAACTACCTGTATTACCAGGGCAAACGCAGGTTCATGACAATTTCCTTTAGTCTGCATAATTCTGGACTGAAATGGTTTATTATGGTGGCTTCCATAAAGTGTAGCCTTCTGCAGTTGATCACTTGTGTATAGGGATGGAAAGTTAGTGCTTTGAGCCCCTTTATTTTTGTTTTGCATGAGATGAATCACCACAATACTTGCTATTTAGCACGGACTGCTATTATTTGAGCAATTCTTGACCTGACGTCTGGTTAGATATCATGAACTCTTACCTTATGTTTATTCCAGGGTTGTTTTCAGGTCCCATCATGGTGAATGTTTTGCCGGATCCTGTCTGACCATATGCTAGCAAGCACACATTATACCCATCAACACAGGAAGTCACAATAGGCTGTGTGTCTGCAAAAATCTGGAGCCAAGAAATAAGGCAACATATAGCTTTCCATTCAACTGAATGATTTAAATATACAAAAATTATGAGAAAAGTAGAATGCACAACTATACAAAAATAACAAACACCTTGCAAGTTACTCAGAACAAAACAAAAATGTTTTAACATGCTAAGCAGTCAAATGAAATTTAAAAAACAATTGAAAACAACGTCATTGAGAAAAACGATAACAAAAGTTAGACATTTACAAAAATATACACTTTGTTGTGTGTTTTTTGTGTGTTTTTTTGACAAACAAAAATGGGAACATTAACACTAATCTGGTAATCAAAATATCGCATGTCAAACAATAGTCATCAAAACAGGGAATGAAGGGAAAGAATAATAAATAAGATACCTGACGAAAAAAATAAAAAATAAAAATAAAAAAATACTAGACATTCACATTAAAACAGATAACGGAAGACCCAAAATGATAGCAAAAATTAGGTAGGACACTCCTTGTCAGTTCCTGGGCCCTATTGCCCCCATAATAAGCACACAAAAAAGTCCACTGATTAGGGGTGTTTTCATATCTGTTGAAGTGCATCATTTCAGTGAAATTTGCAAGAAGAGAACTTGGGGATCTGGTCAATGATCAGCACTCAAGGAAAAGGTGATACAGATATACTATCAGACTGCTTTTGGTACCAATGGAGAAGGAACTCTGCGCTAGCTGTTGAAGATAGAGACGGAGCGCTTGTAGGAATGTCCTGAGGGCTGTGATGACGATTCTTAATTAAACATTAAACATTAGTGCATCAGACCAAGAGGTGAGGAACCAACAGTCTGCATACAAATAAGCCAGAAATTTAAAAATAATGTGAAAGTCAAGTTCTGAAACAAGACAAAACTACAGAAGCAGACAAATAATGAGAACTTTCCACGGGAGTTTACAGCCACTGAACACTCTGGTGAACATCCAGTGAACACTCTGGTGAACACTCTGGTGAACACTCCGGTGAACACTCTGGTGAACACTATGGTGAACACTCCAGTGAACACTCTGGTGAACACTCAAGTGAACACTCTGGTGAACACTATGGTGAACACTCCAGTGAACACTATGGTGAACACTCCAGTGAACACTCTGGTGAACACTCAAGTGAACACTCTGGTGAACACTCCAGTGAACACTATGGTGAACACTCCAGTGAACACTATGGTGAACACTCCAGTGAACACTCCAGTGAACACTCCGGTAAACACTCTGGTGAACACTACGGTGAACACTCCAGTCAACACTAAGAAGAAGAAAAAAAGAAGAGAAATGAATATACAGATAAAATGTGATCATGCACATCAACAAACAAAAGACACATTAAAAAATGTTTTGATAAAGGTATGCTTCAATAAATAACAAATGAGAAATAAGAATACTTAGCGGATGTGAAACTCATGTCTTGCATCCTCATGTGTAGCCCTTCTAGGCTACCACTGGGATAAAATTATCTAACATAAGTTTGTAAATATGTTTTTTGTTTTATGTGTTGAGCACTTATGAAATTTTTGTCTCATAAAACACTGCTTTCTAAAGTATAAGAATGGAGTTGTCATTTTTGCTGTTTGTGTTCACCGGCTGTAAGCTCTGACGGAAAGACCTGGTTGTTCGTCCATTTCTGGACTTTAGCTTTGTTACAGGATCTTAGTTTTGCATGTGCATCCGTTTTACAGATCTTTCTTATTTGTGTGCAGACTGTTGGTTCCTTGCCACTCAGGCAGATGGACTCTGACTTTGAAGGAGCACCCAGTTAATCGACTCTTACGACATTCTTGTTGGGGAGGCAGTGGGTCTGTTTTTGTTTTCCCCACAATGGGGCCTCAGAACCCACACAGGGATAAGAATGGAGCAAGCTATTATTCTACGCATTAGAACAGGACAAAATCAACTTCGCAACCACATGAACACAAAATTTCAAATCGGCGAATCAGCCATGTGCACATGTGGATTGGCACCTGAGACAACAGATCATGTCCTCCAAGACTGTTCCAAATACAACAGATGAAGGCAAAAATTTTGGCCAAGAGAAACATTGGTGCAAGTCAAATTTTACGAGTCGCTAAGTGAATGACAAAAGACAGTGAAGTTCATACTAGAGACAACATTGCAGATATAGATAATCTATTTCAAGTGAATGAAAGAAGAAGAAGAAGAAGAATGGAGTCAAATTAAAGCAACATAACAATTTAGCAGAAAATAAAATAGAACTTAAAGTTTCATGAAATAAATCTGTAAATACCTGTTCTTGGGTAGCTTCCAATGTGTAGACTTTATCAAATGTGAATGTCTTCCTTGCTCCGTCACTATTGGTGACCCAAATGTCTTGATCCGAGGGAAACTTCAAGCAGCTCTGAGCTCGGTCATCTCTACGTGGTCGGCAGAATACACGAATGTTTCCACGGAGCTCTTGCAGCTACAAAAATAAAATAAAAATCTGTCATTTTCAGTAACTCTTTCTGTTCTAAGGGAGCCACCATGGTGTAGAGTCTAGATCTGAAGGTTATGGATTCAGGTCCTGAAGGAGCCAGACTTTTTCCAAAAATGACTTTGGCTCCCAGGTCAACCCAACCTCGAATGGGTGCCAGGTAAAGTCTTTGGGAAATGAAAGCGGCCGGTGTGATGTTGACCATATCACATATCAAGAAAAGATTGGTCTATAAAATATTGGTCTAGCCCTACATGTCCAATATACCTAAAGGGTTACAATTGTAGCGGCCAATCAGGGCGCAATGAGGTTACCCATCCCAGCCAATGAGAACACGACCCCAACCAGTGCTATCTTCCTGGCGCATGCGCAGAACCATGGTCATGTGACAGCTGCATGTATCTTGTGGACCATTGTTACGGTCATTTCATTTTCTGTGCCACCCGGGGATAGACGAATAGTCAGTTTCAAGTGATTTTATTTCAAATTAATACAATTATATGTCAAAAATTCATAGTGGGATATTTCAGTAATTTTTGACGTACACAAGGGGTTAATTATTACTCCTCTTCACGTTCTACAACTCCTGTGGGTGTGTTTTAAATTTTTTCTATATGTATGTGTTGAAATCATACTGTGTATCCTTGAATTTTGCTGGTTGAAGTCAAAAGGTTGACCAAAATATAAATTCGCCACATGGGTTTAGCCCACACCTAGATACCTAGCCTATAGGTAACTCTAATTTTGGTAGTGAAGCTTGATTTTTAAACTCCGTGTCATATGTAAATCATAACCACCAGCGATGAATTATATTTGAAATTTAATTCAGCTAAACAATTCTGAAGTGCCCAGGGACCAGCGAATTCAGAGAACCATGTGTTCCATTTAGCAAACGCTTGCAGTTTTTTTCTATCTTTCACCAGCCCTGCAACATTGCACTGACGGCTACCAATGCCAGTACAATGATCTGAGCACGTCATTACGCACTGTACTTTCGACATAAAAATGGCATAATCAAAAAGACATTTTAAGGAACGTTATTCCAATTTTTGAATGACCACAACTCTTATCAGAACTCTGGTCACTGAGTGTACTGACAGTGAGATAAGAACTTCGGGATTAAACCGTCTGAAAGCTCTTATGAGCAGTATTCACCAACGAACTTCAACAGAGTGGATTACGAAAAATAATTGTCGCTACTGAAGCCATATGTTCCAATTTCCTCACTATGTTGACACACCGCAAATCTCCAAAGGTGAGCTGTACTCATGCGGGAAAGGAACTGAAATCTGACATTTTTTGTTCCCGTATGATGACACCTGTTGTGGTTTAAAATAACGCTGAAACACCATCAGTTTTTACCCAGTCTGTTATGTAATGCAAAGTGTAATAAAAGTTTTCAAAGTTTATTTTTCACTCAAACACCATTCTCTTCAGTGCGTACCTACCTGCAAATGAGAGGGATATTTGAGTGAGCGAGAAGTGGGCAGTGTGCTTTCTCTCTGGGTGCTCTTTTATTAATTCAGTGGTAGAGGAGTTGTCACCAAGATACTTAGCTTGTCCCAGCTACCCCCGTTGGTGCAGGATATACTTATTATCTTGCCCTCTATCCCAGAAGGTTTGAGGTTTGAACAACGGATCAACATCATGGCACATGGGTAGTAACTCATAAGTGCTCCATTTTTCTTCTAACTCAAGTCTGAGTCCGAAGAAGCTCAGCACAGTGCACAGGCTCTGTAGCACCAGCAAGGATCCTGAAATACTTTTGGGTTGATTTTAAACTCCAAATTTTGCCCGGGCAGTGCCATTAGGCTATTTTTTTCAACTTCCAACTGCCAAGAGAATTTTCACAATGCACATGGGCGTCAATCTCCCTTCCCAGAGACCAGGGAAGAATTACTAGAAGTTCGTCCATGTGAAAAAATCTCAGCTCTTACTAGGGATTGAGCTCGGAACCTCTAGCACTCGAGGCCGACACCATGCCTCGAGACCAAGCAGCACCCCAGGAGTGAGGTCGCAGTCTTACGGCTTAGTGGAATTACCCTTGTAGACAGTGTAGTTTCACTACTTCTAACGAGCCACGTTCAGACTGATGATTATCTTCTGTATAGGGGCTCTACTTTACCTAAAGCTCTCCTATAGTTGTGACACAATCTACTGCAAATAGAAAGGTGTCGATAGAATTAACTGAAGGTCACAATAGACAAATCAAAAATAAGAAGGAAAAAATATTTCTTTAAAACTTGTGAAAATCTACCTGATTGTAAAGCAGACGACGCTGCAATGATTCTTTCTGGTAAAGAGCTCTGATCTCCTCCAACTCATGTTGAGAACCAAGGCCAGATTTTTTCAAGTCTGCGGCTGCTTTTATTGCCTTTTGATTAAAACATAAACAATTACTAAGGAAATGAAATGTACCCGTATGCAACAGTCTTTGATACTTACATTCGCTACAAACAAAAAAGTGTGAACACTTTACATTTCAAGTATATTTCAATATCAGGGATATACACAAAATATTTCACAACTGATTTCCTGGCATATTTCATTGTATCTCAGCAGGTGCATAATATAGAATCAATATCTAAATATAAAGAAGCAGAAAAACGAATCCTTTCAATGGAAAAAAAAAAATATTGTGGGTGTTTTATTTTTAATTCACCCCAAACAAAGGAAATTCTGGAGTTTCCATGAAAGTCCAATATTCTATAGGGTGTTATGGGTTGGGGTTAGAGTTAGGGTTAGGATTTCAGATCTCTGTTAGCCCTGACCATATTAGGAACACTGACCAAGCCTAACTCAAATCCATTACACCTCTCCAATATTAGACTTTCCCAGGGATTTCCTTTGTTTTACCATATCACAATAATAAATGTTGCACTATACATTTCACTTCTGAAGTCTTAGATTAACCACAGGATCTTTTTGTTTACACAATGTAGGATTACCCATATTAAGTGCAGTGGCTTCAGCAAATCTCAGAAGATGCCTATTCGGTGAGATAAATAACACAAAAGCAAAACTGCAATCATTCATGTGCACCATAAAATGATTCCCTTCGGTAAATCAGGATAGCATTTATGAAGCTCTTAAGCATACTTTGGTTCTTTACTAATATCCTACCCCAGACGACCTCGCAGGACAGTCCAACATTTAAGAGGGTGGTAAGACTGGGTTTCCCAGCTTTTTGATGCTTTTAATGACCCCAAAACATCTAGAACTGGCCCTAACCCCAACCCACCTACATCCAACGAGACAGTGCAGCCTAGGTCCCATGAATGCATGCAGCCTAGGTCCCACGACTGCATGCAATCTATCTACCACCATAAAATATTAAACTGCCCCATGACCTGTGGATTTCCCTTGTTTGGGGTAGGATATTAATAAAGCACACATACTTTTTTTTATATATTTCAGTTGACAAAGAAAGATCAAATCAAATAATGCACCAAGAACTGGCACTATTTGTTTTTTAAAAACTATACCGGCATAATATTTTTGAAGGTGGTCATTTCATCTCCGTAGTGGAGAAACAAATTGGTATTTACTATAAGTGCCAATCACTCCATCTTAACTCTTTCAGTCCCAAGAAACCACTACTGTTAATGCCTTTATTCCCAAAGATCTGTTTAAAAAAATAATTTAAAAAACTTAGGAATCAAGGAGCTCAACAAAGATACACTGGAGCAGATATAAAGAAACTGAAAATACAGACACAGATGGGGAATATAAATTATGTCTGTGATCAACAAAATCAAGAACATCATATTATCTTTGGAAAAATCAAGAAACGTATGGTGAGTTGGTCAGTATTGAAAGAGTTTAGAGACAAAAAAATTAAGTTTATTTAGTAATTAAATTTCCTTTCGCGTTAAACAGTTCCCTTGCATATCATTAAATTACCTTACATGTCATTCAATTTTATCTGATGTCATTCAATTCGCTCTTTGGTCATTCAATTCCCTTACATGTCATTCAATTCCATTACATGTAATTCAATTCCATTACATGTAATTCAATTCCCTTACATGTAATTCAATTCCCTTACATTAAATTTAATTCCCACACATGTCATTAAATTCCCTTACATGACATTCAATTCCCTTACATGTCATTCAATTCCCTCACATTTAATTCAGTTCCCTTACATGTAATTTAATTCCCTCACATGTCACTTAATTCCCTTACATGTCATTCAATTCCCTTGCATGTCATTCAATTTCATGACATCTTACCTCTTTAATGACAACTTTAACTGACCCAATATGTCTCAGAACATCCATTTTAAGATGTACATGTGACTTGTGTAGGTTCTTCACTTTGCGATTCAGCTGTTCCAAGTCTTGAATGGAGGCACCATCTGGAGCAACCGCAATCTGCAAAAATAAAAGACAAAATTCCACATTGTGGGAGTCGCTTTGGTGCAGCGGCTGGATGGTCGTGGGTTCAAGTCCTGATGGGGCCAGACTTTTAAAAAAAAAAAACTCGGCTTCCAGGTCTACCTAGCTTTAATTGCGAACCAGGCAGAGTCCTGAGAAGTAAAGGTGGTCATTGTGATGTTGACCACATCTCCCACGGAGTGCCGACTAGTAAATAAACACAGGTGTAGCACTATATGTCCCATTTGCCTGAAGGTTTGGGAAAGAGGTCCTTTACTTTACTAATCCGCACATTAAAAAAGTCCATTAGAGTGACCTATATGAGGTAATGGATTAAATCTCTACTACTAGAGGTCAGATTGTGGGTTCGCTCCCTGGCGAATCCGGACTTTTTATAAAAATGACCTTAGCTCCCAGGTCGACCCAGCCTTGAGTGGGTACCGGGTGCAGTCCCGGTAAGTAAAGGTGGTCGCCGTGATGCTGACCATATCATCCATCTTGTGCCGACTGGTCTATAAAATATAGGTCTAGCCCTATATGCCCTGTAGCCTGAAGGCGTGGAAAGAGTCCTTTACTTTTATTTTTCATTCACTAGAGATCAGAAGAAGAATACATGTATTTTGACAGAGCCTGATTTGAAATATGGCTGCAAATCCTAGGCAATCAGCTGAGGTAAAATCATTCCTCGAGATACCGACAATGTTCCAGGAAAGAATGTTCCCCGTGTGTTCGGGTCCTACTTCAGTGGGGGGGGGGGGGGGGGGAGCAGACCCACTGCCTGTAAAAAAAATGTTAGTTGCTAATCCTTTATAGGACGTTGCAAAACCAACCCCAGCATTGTTTGGTTGTTGTAGTTTTCCTATACAGATTTTACGTTTAGTAGTTTGCCATTGCCCCCTGAACGGTCTGCTCTTGATACCACTGTCAAAACCAACGCAAGATAGTTTGCTGCCAAATCACCTGCAGCTGGGATTGAACCCAGCACCCAGGCATTACAAAGTGCATTCACAACGTCTAAGCAACAGACACTGATCTCTCTCACAAGGTTGTAGTGAAATGCAGAAATGTGTTGGGGCTTTTGAGAGTGAATGCAGAAGAAGAATGGAAAAATATTGATAATTCTTTGAACAGTTGAAAAAAAAAAATCTTTTCATTTGATTTGATTCGAGAACTGATATCACAGTACTCAGGCCATTTCCATAAGTGCTCTGTCCCATCTTTAGCAGCCAACACAGAGTTCTAAAACCAGTGGTGCCAGTAGCAGTCTGATTATACATCCGTCACTCCACACTGGATTACTCTCACCAGACTATGATAATCAATTCTGAAATAGGCTAAGTTGATGCTTTCCTTTCCTGACTATACATGCAAGTCAATACCTGTGAATATATTGGGATAGAGACTGAGCACCTACAGTTTCAACTGAAGTATAGCAAATACAATTTTAATGAAAGATAAATAAGTAAAGCCATACGGGTGTTTTTGCTCTTGCTGTTCTTGGCCTTGACTGCTGCATGGCCTCCATCTGTCTTTGAGCTGAAGTTGCCTCAACGGAAACTTTGCTGAATTTGTCTTCTAAGTCAGCAAGCTGAAGAAGGGTCAAAAGTGTGTATTGTTAAATGCAGAATTAGAATTAAAGAGAGAATAATAATACATATCAACTCCTACAGTTTCAAAACAATGTGTTATGAGTGACTTGTTCACTTTCCCATGAATCCCAGCCCTTTTGTAATGTATTCTCTTACATTTGGTTAACGCACACACAAAAATCTGGCTTCACCAGTGCTGTTCAACAGTGTATTTGGTGTCTCCATAAAAGTATAGCATTCTTGATTTCTCAAGGTGGTTATTTCCCAACTTGAGCTTTGGTACCTGTTATGAACAACTTAAATACCTTCTTCTTCTTCTTTACGTCCTCTTTAACCACTTCGGGTGTCAAGGGAGGTATAAGGTCCTGCTTGGTGCTCTTCTGGCTACTTCGACTTCAGACACATCATAGTGCTGTAAAGTTTCTCTGATGTTATCTTCCCATATTTCCTTGGTCTACCTCTTACTCTACATCCCGTTCCTCTTTTGGTATATGCCTTGAATGGTATAGCATCAGAAGACATTCTCTCCAAGTGGGCAAACCATTTGATTTGCTGTCTTTGTATGTAATTTAGACCTGGTTCTGTGTTGACTTTATCTCATATGATCTCATTGTTGATTTTATCTCTTCTGGTCACTCCTACAGCCTTTCTAAGAAACCTCATTTCCATGGTTACTAATTTTTGCTTATGTTTTGTTGTGGGTGACCACATCCGGCACTGATAGCATAGGATGAATATGCTTTGTATGAGATGTCTCTTTGTGCTGATTGGGATTGCCTTATGCTGTAAGAGGGGGGCTAGCTGTCCCAATACTTGGCCAGCTTTACTGCATCAGATGTTAATTTCTTTGTCCAGTTTAACTTCTTCAGTGAATGTTGTTCCAAGATATTTAAACTCGATGCCTGTTTAATATATGAATGCTTTAATGCTAAGACAAGTATGCATGCTGAAGAATACTGGGCGGGGAGAGAAGTGGGTCATAGTACCAGAGGAAAAGTCTGACATATGTAGAGTCCTGATCACATCAGGTTGGGAGTGCAGAGAGTGGCTAGCAGGGACTACTGAGGTAGAAGTCAAACAGTTGATTCCTGACAATTCTCATCCTGATGATCTGATTATCTACACAGACGTTCTGTATTGAGAGGGAACAGAAGTGTCTGGGGTTTCATAGCGAAAGCCAATAGAAAATCTTTAGTGCTGGACAGCCTGTCATTTGATACCATGACATCAAGTATGAGAATGGAGGTGGAGGTGGTCAATGCAGCTTGCCAGCAGCTAGAGAACAAGACACATCCACATGTCATAATTTTAAGGGACTCTGAAAGCATGCTGAAAAGGGTGAAGACAGGATTGCATCGAGCAGTGCCAAGCTTCACTTGCAAGGTCATCGGCAGTAAGCATACTTTGAATCTTTTCTCCAGGTTATGCTGGTGTGGTAGAGAATGAACAGGCAGACAGACTGGCGGGATCTACAATGCTGGGTGGTGAAATGATGCATGACAAGGCAGATGTGGTCAGAGCCCTTTGGGAATAAGTAATGAAGTCAGAAGAGAAAATAGATTATCATGGGCTGGAGAGAATGATGCACCTGGGTGTTACCAGAAGGTTCGGCCAGCACACTACATCCATAGGAAAGGCAAGGCAGACATACAACCAGACTACCACTGGCCCCATTAGTATTGGAACTCTGCGCTGGCTGCCAAGGATGGGGATGGAGCACATGTGGAAATACCTGGAGTGCTGTGATGTCATTTCTTAACTTAACTCAACTCAACTCTGCTCTAATGCTATATTTAGATTTTGTCTCTTTCTTCTTATTGAGGTTACTTCTGTCTTTTCAATTTTGATTATCATATTATTTAATTTACATTCTTCGTTCACAGATGTGAGATACTGTTGCAAATTTATTGTGGTATCTGTAATCAAGGCTTGGTCGTCAGGAAAAAAAAAAGTAATACATTGATGTTGTTATTATTTTTGTTCCTGTGCTTGGCATCTTTGCTTATACTGTCAATGTAGGTGAAAAACAAGAGTGGTGATAAGACACACCTCTGTCTTACTCCAGGTGTTACTTTGAATGGTTTGGATGTTCCCTGATTTAGTCTAACTACGCTTCTACAGTCTCCATATAAGCTTTCGCAAATCTCAATGAGGTGTTTATTACTTTCCATAATTTTTGTCTATCGACCCTGTTGAAAGCTTTCTCCTGGTGTACAAATGCTAGAAAAAAGTTCTGATTATATTTGATGTTCTTTTCTATTAACTGTTTAAATGTGAAAATTGGAAAGGAGTTATAGTTAATGTTATCCTTACAGTGTCTGTCTGTATGAATAATCAACTGTAGTTTTACGATGGGTGAAAGAAATAGAAATCATCATTTGTGATGGATGAACAACAAAGATTATTCTTACAATGCTATAGCAATCAAAGTTTATATGATACAGTGAGCCAGAAAAACTAACAATGATTGCCTGGAAATAGCTAATGAAAGTAGAACATTATGAACAACAATGAGAAGGAGACAAAGTTCTTTGGTCATGTGATGAGAAAAGGAGCACTGGAAAATATTGTAATGACTGGAAAGATCACTGGTAGAAGAGGCAGAGGCAGACCAAGAGAAATTATGGTGGATGGCTTAAGACAGTGGTGTGAAGGAGTATCATCAGTAGAATTGATCCAGAACACCAAAGACCGAGATCTGTGGTGACGCATAAACGCCTTCACCAGCTGACAAGGCACTTGATGATGATGATACAGTGAACAAGTCTGATCTTGATCACAAATTGAGTTCTGACTGATCTTTAAAAACTGATCTAAAATTTCTTCCTGTAGATTCTGGGGTCCTACTTTATAAGGAAATAAAGACCCACTCCCACAAATGTAACAAATTAGGGGATTTCTGAAATTGGATGTGTTGGATTGAAGACACAGATTTCATAGTCTAGCTGTAAACCACTTACAACATGCCAGCTGTCCTTTTGAAGGCAGAAGAAGAAGTTCTAAGACCATATCCCATAATGTTTTAGATACTGAAACATCCTTTACATTAATTTATTTTACTTTATAGTGAACATTTCCCTACAACTGTTTACAAAAGAGAAATACTATCATGTGTTACCTGTTTCTCAGCTTCTAGACGGGCTTTCCGCTCTAATTCTAGTTCTGATTCCTGCCAGAAACAACAACATAAAAGTGAATTTCACAACAGAAATCATAAATGATGTGACTGGAAGAAATCTAGCAAATTTTCGTTTGTTCTTTAAAGCTGTGTTTAACCTACTATATAAACATCATCATCATCATGTAGCAGGTCATTTGCAGAACGTCGCCGTCATCATGGTCTGAAAGAAACTCAGTCTCTCGTCAGCTCTCCCGCCTCATGTACTTTCATGTTCAAGGAGTCGCTTATATCCTGTACCTTCGTGTTGGTCTGCTCCTCTCCTTCCTTCCTGGTACTATGCCTACTGTGTGTTTTCCAATCCATCATGTCACTTGATATAAACAAAATATTTCAGCGTCCGAGACAAGATGTTGTTTATTAGTCAGTCTTCCCTGATGTTCAGATCTTTTAAATTGTCACTATTTCTTTCATAATGAGTTTTTTTGGAAATAAAGTAGAACTACACAAACAGCTATTCTTTTAAAGTTGCAGGTTAACAGATGATCAGTTTCTAAGTTATGGCACGCTTGGTTGCCCGGAATGCTGTGATGTTGTTTAGTCTCAAGGTATCAGTGACTTCTTCAATCCATCTTTTTCTTGACAAATCATGGTTCATACATGGTTGATATTATTTTGGGTTTAAATGTCATTTTAAATTAAAGGTGTTGTTTATCCATCACAGGTGATGAGGACCACTCTTTCTTTCATCCATCATGAAACTGTGATTGATTGTGGGTCTGAAGGTGACTTATAAGCCCGATACAGACCTAGAAGGATCAATGGCAGTGAGGACAGGAAACAGGGTCTGTAGATAAAGGACCTGTTATACGGGTCTTTTTAGCCTGTCTTCGCTGTTCAGCTGCTCTTTTTCCAGATGCCTCAAAAGTTGCTGCACCTCCTCGGATAGACATTTGCCATATAGTCCGGTCTTTGCAACAGCCTCCAACATGTCGGGGTTTATACTGAAAGCTAAAAGTGATGCCTTTAGCATGTTATGGAAGCGCGTGTGTTTTTTCTGACCACTGTGATAGCATCTAAAATCTTCTGTCTCACCATAAAAGATTATTTTTGGAAATCAATGGTCTGGCATGCGGACGAGATGACCTGCTCAACAAATCTGTGACTTCATCAGGCTGGTATCGATGCTGGAAATGCCAGCTCTGTTATTCAATATGATAGTAGTTGGGACCCTGTCTTGCCATTTGATTTTCGGTATCTTTCTCAGACAGACTGTATGAACTGAGCTTTTTTGAATGACATCTGTATACAGTCAAAGTTTCACAAGCGGACAGCACTGGAGAAGCACCCAAGCACTGTATACCTTCAGTATGGTTTGCAGACTGATGCCATTTCAATGCCAGACATCGGTGTATAGTCTGCCTAATGAGGGTTAACTCTTTGAGTCTCAAGGAACACACCATACGTTCATAGGTTCCTACCCAGAGGCCCAATAAACGCAAGATGCGCTGATGTTAGATCTCTCTTGACAACCCCTTGGGCTTCTGATGCTAAACCCACTGGGACTCAAAGAGTTAGGGTACAAATGTCTATCATGCAAAGATCCTATCTGATGGCATAAAAGGTTCAATCTCCACTTCCATTGTATGCTTTCTCTATTATACCAAGTGCCAGACACCTACATAACAGAAGGTTTTGTCTACAAAAGAAGTCTACATCCTGAGAAAGTGACATGCTCATTCTATCAGGTGGATCTTCTTCTTCTTCTTCTTCACTTCCTCTTTTACCGCTGTGGGTGTCGAGGGAGATATAAGGTTCTGTTTCTAGCTCTTCTGGCCGCCTCGACCATAGGCACATCGTGCTGTTGTAGAGTTTCTCTGATGTTATCCTTCCATCTTGTTCTTGGTCTACCTCATGCTCTACGTCCTTCTTCTCTTTCCATGTATGCTTTGTATGGTATGGTGTCACAAGGCATTCTCTCTAAGTGGGCAAACCATTTCACTTGCAGTCTTCGTATGTAATCCAGAATTGGTTCTGTGCCGACTTTTTCTCTTATGATCTCATTGATGATCTTATCTCTTATGGTCACTCCTACAGCCCTTCTCAGACATCTCATTTCCGTGGTTACTAATTTTCTTTTATGGTTTGTTGTGAGTGACCATGTCTGGCACTGGTAGCACAGAGTTGAAATAAATATGCTTTGAATTAGATGTCTCTTTGTGCTGATTGGGATTGTCTTATGCTGTAAGAGGGGGGCTAGCTGTCCCAAAACTTGGCTTGCTTTACTGCATCAAAGGTGGATCAAAGTCTCAAATCTGTAGACTCCTTCCTGTTGATCTCTTAAGGGTGCAGCCTGTGATGAATGGGAGAGTTAACACATGGATGTGAGGTTAAACAGTCAAGTGTAGGATGTGATGATTCCTTGGCGAGCTCAGTACCAGAGCAGCATGTAACGGCTCTGCATTTATAGTAGCCTTATTGGCTGGGGGAGAATACCCATGTTCAACTCCTGCCTTCCCTTGAGGGCAGACTAGTCTGCACATGGATGTATAAGATGGGTCATTTAAGGGCATCACCTGTGGATCAGGGGATAAAGAAGTTACCACACAAATAAGGCTGTGAAGTGTTCCATGAAACAAACCGGGAAGGCTAATCTGGTAAACAAATGCCTCATGAAGTTGGATGTATCGGCCTAAAGAAACAAAAGTCATAGATATTCTGTAAACAGGCACAATACGATTACATCACTAGGATAAAAGATAAAGAAAAAAGAAGTTAGAAAAAAAGTATCATGTCCAGATAGATACAAACAAGTTACCAGATTTTTCAACTTCTGTGTCAGTTCTTCAATTTTATGATCTTTATTTTCATCTGCTTCTGCATCTTTGCTTGTTCGCTTAGGCTTAAGCCATTCTGAAAGGTGTATTTATACAAAACCCTGTCACTGGATGCTAGAAAAGAATTCCTGTGTACAACACATAACCAATTTTAACACGTTACTGTGAACTATCGCGATCAAAACCCTTACTGTGAACTAACGCGATCGAAACCCAGCCCCAAAATGGGTACCAGGATGGCTGTCCTGGGGAAGTAAAGACGGCCGGCATAATGCTGACCACATTACCCAACTAGTGTCGATTGGTATGTACAAATATGGGCACTGTTCACATATGCCCAATGTGCCTAAAGGCATGAAAAGGGTTCTTTACTTTATTTACTGTGAACTGTGATTAATTAATGCTTTCAGCCCTAGAACCTTTCACAGCAGTAGCTTCAGAAGAGAAATAACCACTATAAAAAATCATGAGTACAAAACTCCAAGATTCATGAGAAAGAGTTTATCAGGCATGATGCGTTACTTGGAACTGAAAGAGTTTATCAGACATGATGCGTTACTTGGAACTGAAAGAGTTAATGAAACATGGATATATGATGCTAGAAAAAGAAAAAAGTATGGTAATCACAAAGTGTCTAAAATAGGTGCCGGTAACCATTACAAAAATGTCTAAGAAAGGTGGTGTTAGATAACAAAGTCTCTCAAATAGGAGTCGGTACCCATCACAAAGTCTCTCAAATAGGGGTCGGTACCCATCACAAAGTCTCTCAAATAGGTGCCGGTACCCATCACAAAGTCTCTCAAATAGGTGCCGGTACCCATCACAAAGTCTCTCAAATAGGTGCCGGTCCCCATTACAAAGTCTCTCAAATAGGTGCCGGTATCCATCACAAAGTCTCTCAAATAGGGGTCGGTACCCATCACAAAGTCTCTCAAATAGGGGCCGGTAACCATTACAAAAATGTCTAAGAAAGGTGGTGTTAGATAACAAAGTCTCTCAAATAGGAGTCGGTACCCATCACAAAGTCTCTCAAATAGGAGTCGGTACCCATCACAAAGTCTCTCAAATAGGTGCCGGTCCCCATTACAAAGTCTCTCAAATAGGTGCCGGTACCCATCACAAAGTCTCTCAAATAGGGGTCGGTACCCATCACAAAGTCTCTCAAATAGGGGTCGGTACCCATCACAAAGTCTCTCAAATAGGTGCCGGTCCCCATTACAAAGTCTCTCAAATAGGTGCCGGTACCCATCACAAAGTTTCTCAAATAGGGGTCAGTACCCATCACAAAGTCTCTCAAATAGGGGTCGGTACCCATCACAAAGTCTTTCAAATAGGTGCCGGTACCCATCACAAAGTCTCTCAAATAGGTGCCGGTACTCATCACAAAGTCTCTCAAATAGGTGCCGGTACTCATCACAAAGTCTCTTAAATAGGTGCCGGTACCCATCACAAAGGGTATAAAATCTCACAGTGGTGAATGGTCTATAATATATAGGTATAGGCCTATATTCCCAATATGCCGGAAGGCATGAAAAAGAGTCCATTACCTTTATTTTACTTATGATACCATCATTCTGTCTTCAGATGTATCACAACCTCATACCCTAACCTTTGTTCTTGTGATGTTATTCTACATTACAATAGCATCAAAATATGAACCTATTTACCGTCTCCCTCCAGTAGCAAGTAGGTTCCAATACATTCATCAGGACTGTAGTTACAAACACGCAACAAAGCAAGAATGTCAGCTCTGTCTTTCCAGTTTGGTAAGGCTTCCTGTAAAACCAACAAATGAATGAATGAATGAATGAATGAATGAATTAATTAATTAATTAATCAAGAACTGACATCATTGCACACAGGACATTTCCACATGCAAGTGTGTTTCCTGGTGGCCTTACCCGAACCCAACGATGGAGGTGATGGCGGTGACACAAGCTTTCATGAATCACAGGACTATGCCCGCATGTGTGTGTTGAGTGATGCTTTAACCATGATCTGGCGGGTCGAGGCGGGCTGGTTATGCAGACAGTGGACTGAGTCATTGCAAAACTCTCTTGCGTCTGTAGATACCTTCATATTTGTCCCAGGGCATGCAGGTGTTGTTGGTAATGAAAGAGCTGATAGACTGGCAGGTGCCGCAATAATTGAAGATGGCCAGTCCAAGGATCACGCAGACATTGTCAATTCCCTTAGAGAGATAGGACGTTCCCATGATTTTGGAAGCAACGTGTCCACATTACTGCTAAAAATATAAGAATTGGGAGTAAAGATTGGCACAGCCAAGCATGAGAAGCACACCGGACGCAACCAGCAAAGGACTGGCACTACTAACTGCGCGACACTGATGAATATGTTGAGGGGGGAATCTGAGCACCTATGGATGTGTCCGGAGTGCTGTGAGGAAAATCCAACTCATAACTCATTCCACATGTGCTCAGTCTAAGCAGCCAATGAAGAGTTGCCATACTGATGGTGCCAACTGCAGCCTGATTAAAAGTTTGCCAGTTTTTCACCTGCAGGTAGAAAATCGTCCAGACCATCTGCTTACTACCAGCTGAACAGTTTCGCTGCATGAGCTACTGAGTATAGTTGTAACAAATGGTGTGTTTATGTTCTCTAGGTAGTGTTCATGCATGTGTGATGGATGTTCTTCTCACACGCTCCACGTTACACAACTGGTATAAGCCGACACCTATGTGAGCTTACGAGACATGAGTTTATTGACGTATTCACACTTACATACAAGAAGTCCTGTCGTTGTCCTAGTAAACAGGCAGTAGCCAGTTTATGTGTGAGCTGGTGAAATGCTTTATGTTACAATTCTACGTGTGTATAGCCAACTTATCATGCCGGACTACTTCCATCAATGACAAAATGAATATCTGGTGGCGACTGTTGGCTGTGTGCGTGTGCGTGAGTGTTTTCCTTCCCACCTTCACTGAATGCCTCAGTCACGGTTCAGTGGAATAATTTCTTGATACTAGCTTGACTGTAGTCACCCCACTTTTATAACTCTTTTGATTCAACTGTAAATCTTCTCTCTGTCTCTCACTCTCTCTCTCTCTCTCGAGTGTGTGCGTGTGTGTGTGTGTGTGGGGAGGGGGGGGGGGAGACATTCAATATTACCTCTACGTAATCAACCATTTGTTTTACAAGCTCATGATGGAGTTCCCAGCCAATCGGTAAATGAAGCCACTTGCCAGAAGTACGATCAAAGAAATAATGCACGTAGCGCTTTTCCTGGTGAAGAAAATTGTTTTCTTTTTTTTATATGATGACAAAATGATCCTCTTATGCCCTATAAGTTTCCATAAATTTAAAATATATACACTTTTTTTTTTTTTTAGAAAACCAGTTTTGTTTATACAATATGCTCAACATGCTAAAATTGTTTTGAAAACATTTCAATAAGCGACCTCCGCTGTCAAAGAACATGTCTTAGCAAAGCTAGAGTTGTGCTTGTAATATAAAACTTTTTTTTTTTTACGTACAGGAGACTTAATACTATAGAAAGATTATAAGAATACAATGGACAAAGAAGAGGAAAAATACTGACATCTAGAAAAATCTGAACATCAAGAAAGATTGGCTAATAATAATGCTAATAAACAGCATCCTGTCTCGGAAGCTGAAATATTTTGGTCATATCAAGCGCCACGACCAATTGGTAAAAATAATAGCAGAAGGCATAGTACCAACATGAAGCTGGGCACAGAAAATAAATGACTCCTAGAATATGAAAGTACACGAGGCGGGAGAGCTGGCGAGAGACCAAGTTTCTTTCAGGTAGAACATGAGGAAAGCGACTTTCTGCAAAAGACCTGCTACATGATGATGATGATGACAGGACTCTTATGGCGCTCTTATGAAAAGAATGCTTAGATGTGCTATATTCATGCATTATATCAATCAAAGAAACTTGTCAATATGAATGCTATATTCATGTATACCCTGATCTAGGAAACCTGTCAATGTGAACCCTTAGATGTGCTTTTATGCTATATTCATGCTATATACCAATCTAAGAAACATATCAATGTGAACATACAGATAAGCTATATTCATACTATATACCAATCTAAACAACTTGTCAATGTAAACAAACAGATGTGCTATATTTATGCTGTATACCAATCTAAGAAACATGTCAATGTGAACACACAAATGTGCTATATTCATACTATATACCAATCTAAACAACTTGTCAATGTAAACAAACAGATGTGCTATATTTATGCTGTATACCAATCTAAGAAACATGTCAATGTGAACACACAAATGTGCTATATTCATACTATATACCAATCTAACAACTTGTCAATGTGAACATATAAATGTACTATATTCATATTATATACCAATCTAAGAAACATGTCAATATGAACATACAGATGTGCTATATTCATCCTACATACCAATCTAACAACTTGTCAATGTAAACACATAGATATGCTATATTCAGGATATCAATCAATCTAAGAAACATGTGAATGCTAACACATACATGCTCTATTTTCATGATATATACCAATCTAAGCAAACTTGTTAATGAGAACACACATATGTGCAATATTCATGCTATACACCAATCTAAGATACCTCAATGTGAACACACATGTGCTATATTCATGCTATATACTAATCTAAGCAAGTTGTTAATGTAAACAAATAAATGTGCTATATTCATGCTATACACCAATCTTAGAAACCAGTCAATGTGAACACACATGTGCTATATTCATGCTATTTACTAATCTAAGCAAGTTGTTAATGTAAACAAATAGATGTGCTATATTCATGCTATACACCAATCTTAGAAACCAGTCAATGTGAACACATAGGTGTGCTTCATTTATGCTATATACTAATCTAAACATCCTTTCAATGTGAACACACAAGTGTGATATATTCATGCTAAATCCCAGTCTACGCAACTTGTCAACGTGAACACTTACCACCATCAGGTAAGTCTCTATCCGGCCTCGTCGAGGATGCGTCAAGAATCCCTCCCTGTCATCCCTCTCCTGTTTGCCACCTGCCCCACCCAGGTTGTTCTGACTGGAATTTTTCTGTAAAGTTTTACATTATACTATAATCATATTTCATCATCGTCAATAAATTCCATTTCAAAGGTAATGAGTCACCATACCTTCCCCTGTGGGTTCAAGAGCTCCGTGTGTGTGTGTGTGTGTGTGTGTGTGTGTGTGTGTGGTGTGTGTGTGTGTTTGTGTTGTGTGTGTGGGGTATGGTGTGTTGTGTGGTGCATGTGTGGTGTGTATTTGTGTTTGTGTTGTGTGTGTGGGGTATGGTGTGTGTGTGGTGTGTGTTTGTGTGTGGGGGGTGAGCACCCAAAGCTCCTTAATATCTGGGAAAAAGATTGGACATCACAGCACTCAGGACAAGCCCATATTAGCTCCGTCTCCCTTCTCAACGGCCAGTGGCTGGTCTCCCATCCTTATATACCCACTTTCATCTAGTTAACTACATGTTTTTTTCCTTGAATCTCAAGTGGTGCCCAGAGGCAGCAGACACTCCCCACTGTATCATTCTCTCCAGATAAAGGTTTACAGTATCTATCATTTGTTTTTTGTCCCACAAGCAAGAGATTATCTCTGTCTTGTGCAGTTGTAGCTCCCCCCCACACACACACAAAGTAGGGCCAGTCCAGCCAACCTATCTGCCTGCTCATTACCACAAACAGCTACATGGCCAGGGCAAAATATCCATGTAACTCACCCTCTGTGATCTCTAGGCTGATGCACCTTTACAAACAAAAGTTTAAAAGTTAGTTTGTGTCCATTACAGAAACTTTGCAGAACCGGCCCCTACATTTTGTGGTTGTGGTGGTTTTTTTAGGTACATTTTATGTTCCATAGTTTGTCACTGCTTTCTGAATGGTCAGCTCTTGGTACCACTGTCGAAACCAATGCAAGACAGTTCGGCTGTCAATTGAACCCAGCACCCCCTCATCACAAAGCACATTAGCAATGCCTAAGCCACAGATTGCTGACCACCTTTACAATCCTGATGTAAAAGATTGGGCTGAAAAATGGATAAAGATCCATTTATGTAGGCAGAGTATCAAAAAAAAAAAAAAGATATTACAGTGATTCAGCTGTCAAATTATACATAATTAATGATGAAAAAATGATAACTCAGTTCAGACAAATCGATAAATAATGTCTCTCACAACATAACTAGATGGGTGCAGATGTACAGTGTACTGTTAAATGATTTTGTGAAAAATATATAAGTTACATGCAGACTGTTTGTTACTTGCCTCACAGGCAGATGCACCCCGACTTTAAAAAAAGCCCCCAGTGAGTTGACTCTTACCATATGCTTGCATAAGACCCTAGAATGTGCAGGGAGACAACCAAACCAAACAGAGACACATTTCTTCCTATTTAACTCCTCTTTATACGGGTAATGAGCATACTTTGGATCTTTTCTCCAGGTTATGCCGGCGTGGTGAGGAATGAAAAGACAGACAGATTGGCTGCATCTGCATCACTGGGTGGTGAATTGATACATGACAAGGAAGGTGTGGTCAATACCCTTTGGGAACAAGCAACAGATTCAGTAGAGATAGACAATTTTTATGGCCTGGAGAGAATGATGTAGCCAGATGGTCTGGCCGGCTCACTACCCTCAGAGGAAAGGCAAAACGGACATATAACCAGACTGTGACTGGTACCATCAGTATTGGAACTGCGCTGGCTGCTGAAGATGAGGACAGAGCACGCATGGGAATGCCCTGAGTGCTGTGATGTCAATTTTTGACTAAACTCAACTCAACTCCTCTTTTTAACCCATTCAGGTGTTGAGGAGATATAAGGTCCTGTTTCTTGCCAAAGATCTATTTCAAATTAGTGAAAATCTAGGTAGCTTCATATAGTTTACAGACACTGTTTCTTGTACAAAAATCCCAAGAAATAAATTAATTTTAACAACAACACACTTACCGAGGTGTTATAGTTGTCATCCAGTGGAGAAAGTTTACCTTCTGAATACCAGCGTTCAGGGAACGGTTGCCAGTCCTAAAAGTTTAAACATCAAAAATAAATAAGCAATAAATACTCAATTTTACTGACAATGATCTCATGGTAACATGTTTTATACCAAGTGCAAGTGTCTGGCATTTTGTGTCCTAGACAAGAGTATGTAATTCTTAAATGATAGGAAACTGACTTGAAGACAATATGCTCAAACACTGGTGATGGAAGGCAAATATATATGGGCTAATAATGTTTACCAAACCAAATTTTTGGTTGCGTTTTCTGTCATGAATGAGGGGGATATTACCATACTGGAAAAAATGTATCTCCTGGTTAGAGAACATCAGTGTTCTGTTGCAAGAAGCACTGAACAATACAAGTGAATTCTGTTCTTTGGCATTATATCATTGTCTTCTTCTTCTTCAAATTCACTGACTGTATAAATTCCAGCGAAAAAGTTCTGGCTGTTCATTCACGTCTGGACTTTAGTCTTGTTTCAGAACATGACTTTGTGTTCACATCTGTTTTACACATCTAAATTATTTGTAAGAGAACTTGAGTGTTGTGTTTACATCTGTTTTACAGATCTAACTTATTTGTATGCAGACTGTTGGTTCCTTGCATCTCAGGCAGATGCAGTCTGATTTCAAAGGAAGCCCTCAATTAGTTGACTCTTACGACATGCTTGTTGGGGAGGCATTGGGTCTGTTCTTGTTTACCCCACAACAGGGCCCTGAAACTCACAGGGGAACTTTGACATTATATAAGAAACTAAAAGTCACATGAGCTAAGAACTACAACTGCATTTTATGGACATAATGCGAGTCTGTCTGCTAGTACAGAAGTCTGAGCATGTAACTGTGGTTTAAACTGTGATTTTAAAAGATAAAATTAACTCACTTTGGAATGCCAATCATCCAGATAATAGCGTATGCCATTTCTGTTTGCACAGATAAACTCTCGTCCATTGTTGTGAGTGAATGTTTCAAAAGTTACATTCTCATCCTGGCAATACAAACAGAAAAGTTACATTTATCAGCCAGATTTGTGAATTTTGCAACCAAAATTGTATTTGTGAAGTCATGTGTTTGTGTGTGTTCATGCTGCGCATGAACAGCAGATCAAAAATAATCTTGTGTGTACATATCTACACACTGATACTCAAGAAAAATGTAAGGAGAAGTGTCTGTGTGTGAACCGAGTTCCCCAAATAAGACCAGTACAAAATAGGAACATTAAATATATGTCGCTGGAGTAACAAAGTGGAGGAGACTATGAAACTGATGGGGAAAAAATAAAAAGACTAACTTGAATTACTAAACAAAAAACAAGTATGAATTGTTCATCATCATCATCAGTTTCCACTTCTGCTGTTAAAGGTTGTGGGAAGGAACAGTTTGCGATCTATTGCTAGATGGGCAGCAATGGATATTGTCATTCCGTATCGATGTAGAAGCTCTTTAATGCCATCAATTCATATTTTCTTAGTGTGGCCTCTTGAATTTGCTGGACGGTGTTGTTCCCACAATCTATGAATTGTTATCAATCATCTGCATGGTGTTGTTCCCACAATCTATGAATTGTTATCAATCATCTGCATGGTGTTGTTCCCACAATCTATGAATTGTTATCAATCATCTGCATGGTGTTGTTCCCACAATCTATGAATTGTTATCAATCATCTGCATGGTGTTGTTCCCACAATCTATGAATTGTTATCAATCATAAAACTGTGTCATTTTTTAAAGAAAAAGCAAAGAATTTAGGATTTATTGTAATTTAATGGCTCCGCCCTTCAGTTTATGAGTACACATTTCTACAATCCCTAGGGATCGTCGCAACCATGTTCATGCTTCATGTGACATTCTTGGCAGGCAACTAGCCATTCTGCAGAGAGAGCAAGAGCTATACAGATAAAAATCCCAGAGCAGTTAAGTGGATCCTCTCAACTTTTTTTTTTAAACAATAGATATGTTGTTGTTAGTTTGCGTTCACCAGCTGTAAACCAAGGCGGAAAGATCTGGTTGTTCGTCCATTCCTGGACTTTGGCTTTGTTTCAGAACTTGAGTTCTCAATGTGCATCCGTTTTACAGATCTTGCTTATTTATGTGCAGACTGTTGGTTCCTTGCTACTAAGACAGATGCACTCCAACTTTAAAGGTAGCCCCCAGTTAGTGGACATGCTTGTTGGGGAGGCAGTGGGTCTGTTCTTGTTTTCCTCACAATGGCAACCTGGAACCCACACGGGGAAAACAATAGATATGAAACACATGCAGACATCACTGATTAGTTTACCTTATCTGAAGTGTTAGTAGATGTGTTGCCAGAATCCTTGTTTAAAATGCAGCATTAAAAACCATCAATAGATTATTAAGCAACAAGTTATGTATATGATAAATTTTCTGTGTTTCTGTGTTCACCCTTACCTCCTTCAGTCCCAAAGAATGCATCATACTTTCATAGGTTCCTACTTAGTAGCCCAATGAATGCAAGATGTACAGATTTTACATCTCCTTTACTACCCCTTGGGTCTCTGATGTTAAATCCCTTAGATTGAAAGAGCTAAAAGGGCAGTAGGCATGCTGTGTTGTGCTTTACAGCTAGGCTGTGATATTTGCGGGTTCTAGCCAAACATATTCAGTTTCATCACACACATAACTAGTCACCTTTTATGACATGCTTGTTAGTGAACAGTCCCCAGCCCCTGCCCCCTTTCCCCAAACAGCATCCAAGAATCCACACAAGAAACTGATAAACTGAACTGGATAATTTTGCCAATGGTTTTCACAGTTTTAAGTGATATAGATATAATAGAATATATAGTATATTAAGCAGTATTCACTATTATTTCACAATAATGACAGTCCTTCTGTCTCCACTTTTTTCTGCTTTTGCTTCTGATTCTGCTACACACTATCATCATCCCCTTGTGGAATGCAATTCTTGCCATGGGTCGCAATATAGCTCAGCCATAAATATGGTCTAATGGCTGAACACAGTTTCCAGGACCTCTCCACAGGTGATCCTTATCTGCATGGCGGCACTTTGTTTCACCCAGTGTTTATCGCTTCCTAGTGAGACTACTACTACTGATTCTACTTCTGCTGCTGCTGCTTTTTCTTCTTCTTCTTCTTCTTCTTCTTCTTCTTCTTCTTTTTCTTCTTCTCTAATTCCTTTTCTACCTTGTCAGCGTCAGGTTTTGAAGAGGCATCAAGTCTTGGTATGTGCTTAAAGGAGCTACTATTGAGACTTGAACCTAATAGAAGCAAATTCAAGAATTCCTAAGCTATAGAGTTTAGTGCTTGGGGCAGCACTGTGAACTGTGTTTTTCATGTGGAATGCCTTTCATCGACCAGCTTATCAAGACCGACTACTTCCATCAATTTCTGGGGTGGCTGTTGGCTTAGGCACCTCTAGAAACTGCCTTATGCATTTACTACGTGCACATATTTCTGTTGTTGACCATTTCTTTCACATGGGATAGTGAGGGACATTTCATTAGATTTTCACTGGCACAGGAACAAGGCAAGAATAGGGTGACCTGATTGCAGTAAAGATGAAACCTCAACCAAGATGTATAAAACTGTAATATTGGGCTCAAATTGGAGATAACCTGCTGTTATGTTCTATGGGTTTAGTGTTGCCATTACAATTTGCCCTATTTAGTGACTGCTATTTTCAAAAACATTAACCTTGTTTCAAAAAGCATGTGAGGATAAAGCAATTAAGAAATCATGAGTTTTCAATTTGGCAGAAGTTTTCTGTGGGAAAAGAAGAACAAAAAGTAGCGTTCTGCTGGTACATAAAAATACACCAGTATGTTTATCCTTGCTGCGAAACAGTCCCTGACAACACAAAATGTGACCTGGGTAGTCCTCCATATTATCCTTGCCTGGATACCAACAGGTGTTTGTTTTTCTACCCTCTACTCACACACAGTGAAAGGGCACCCGGTGACACAAAAGGCCACCATACGGATGAGAATCACCTGTAAAGAGGTCCCAGAAACTGTGTTCAACTGTCAGACTATATTTTCATCTCCAAGTGGGACCCAATTTTTCATTTTCTGAAGCCCCACCCTGGTTGTTGCCGGGGTCCTATTATAACCAAACCTGTGGAGTTTCTGGGACCTGACCCCAGGTGATCCTCATCCGAATTGTGGCACTTTGTGTCACCGGGTGTTTATCGCTTGGTATGATGTCCTGGTAAGTAAGTAAGTAAAATTTTACCCCATCAGGACATTACACAGAGCGACAAACACCCGGTGACACAAAGGGCCACCATACGGATGAGAATCACCCATGAAGAGGTCCCGGAAACTGTGTTCAACTGTCAGGCTATATTGTGGCCTGTGGCAACAGCCAGGGTTGGGCTAGAAAATAAAAATAAAAATTACATTCCACAAGAGGGACGATGAAAGTTATGTCCTGGTTGGGTTAAACATCACTTACTCAGATGATTACTCCATCCCCAATATGGGACATTTTTAAAGCCTCACTCCAGTTGTAGTCAGGAGCCCTAATATAACATAAGGTTTGAGTGGGGTTTCTCATCCAAATGGTGGCACTTTGTGTCATCTGGTGTTTATCGCTTGTTGTGTGGTCCTGATTGGGCTCAACAATCACTCACTCACTCACCTGAGTGATGTTTTCAAAGAACAGATTCTAGGAATGTCACTAACAGCTGTATGAACATTAGCAAAATGCTTCGGTATTGAAGACAGCTGCTCTGAAGGCAATTTAATGTAAGCTTTTGTATGGCTACTAAATTTGCATAAAATAAACTAATGCTTGAAATATTTCAGGGACTTTTAATAGAATTTCACATGATAAATTATGCAGCTAGGCCAAAATATATATGAGAGAGTTTTTACAGCAGAAAATCTGAGAGGAAGGTGAGAGGAAAACCAATAAAGAGACAGTTAAATGGTGTTGCTGAAAAAATGCCAAAAGGTGAACAAATTCCATCACCCAAAGCAGCCGAGAAGCACAAGACAAATACAGAAACCATGACACTGGGCTACAACCTTGTTATCAGTGAGACAACAAAAGAAGAAGAAGAAGAATTATGTGAAACAAGCAATGACAATGCAAAATAGAAAATTATAATTTTTCATGAAGTGTAAACGTCATAACAAAATTAACACTCTTATAACACATATAGATGTTTTTGTTTCCACGTAGATTAGGAAAAATATTGCTTTTACATTTTCTTCACTAAAGCTTATATGTAACTCTAATGATACCTGCAAATCATTTCTTCTCATGGGGCTGGATCTAGTGGTGGCTGCCCCTGACTGTCCATGTTGTAGTGAGTTCGGTGCGCCTGAGCTGGTAGCATGGCGGCCGTACCGATTCCTTTGTCCAGCTGTGTCTGCTGGAGATTTCTGATCTCTGAAACCTGCAGAAAAGGTACCTCATCAAATAATAATACGTTTAGATTAACACTCTTTTTTCCCCTCCAAGCAACTTGTGTGATATGATTGGTTCTTTCGTGTTAATCCTAGCACGGTAATGTGTTCTCTAGTTTGTACATTTTATATTACCATCATCATCATGTGGCAGGTACTTACAAGAATGTCACTCTCATAATCTGCATGAACGAAACTCGGTCTCTCACCAGCTCTCCTACCTCGTGCATTTTCCTACCCAAGGAGTCAGTTATATCATGTGCTAGTCTTCGTGCTGGTCGGCTTTTGCCCCACTTTCCTGGTACCATTCGTGCTGCTCTTTCCAATCCACCGTGGCATGTGATATGGCCAAAATATTTTAGTTTCTGGGACAAAATGCTGTTTACAAGCCAATCTTCTTTAATATTCAGACCTTTTAGGATGTCAGTATTTCTTTTCTTCTTGGTCTATTGTATCCTGATAATCTTCATAAAGCATTTAGGCTAAGCTCAAAAGCCTATATTTTCTTTCTCAATTGCTGTGAGATAGTCCACGACTCACATCCCTATGTTGCTACTGGGAAGATGCATGCTCTCAAATTGTGACCTTTATTTCCTTGCTGGTGCTTAATTAACCAAAAACTTTTAATGCTGTTTAATCTTTGCATTGCTGTGACCATCCTCCTTTTGACTTCTGATAAACACGTTCTCCATTGCTGTTTATTATGGCTCCACCCTTCAGTTCACAAGTGCAATTTTAATGGAAATTCCGGGGGATCGTCACCGCAGCTACGGAGTTCCAGCTTTGTGCAGCATTCTCGGCAGGTGGCTAGCCATTCTGCGGATAGAGGCCAAGCTATATGGGATAAAACCCGGTGCAATAAAGTTGATCCTCTCGACTTTTACATTTTAACTCTTTTATTTGAAGTTTACATTTAATGACAAAATACTAAAACTTCTTGCATCTGAATCCACATAGAAGCAAATGTTTACTATTGGCTTTGGGCTTCCAGTCTAAAATCAGCATTAAGAAACTCTCTGGGAAGTAAAAATGGATGACAGATGGAAAATAACAAGAAAGGAAAACAATGGTCAGAAAAGAAAGTCAGTGGTATCTTGGGATGACTGTTGCACTGTAGGACTGGTCATGCATGGGAGTTTCCAATGTACAGTGACATTGATTATGACAACATAACAGAAAATATGAATGAACTTGACCATTTGAGCGTGGTTTCACCCTGATGAACACTGAATTCCTCCCAGCCTTTCCTGGCTGTAAACTCACACAAAGAACTGATTGCCCACATCAGAAAGAGACAATCTACATTCCTTGGTCATGTGATGAGAGGGAGAAAACTGGAGTACATCGTGACAGTGGCAGGGGAGGAGGCAGACGGAGACAGACAAAAAAGATGTTGGACATCATGGCATGGAAGATCATTTGTGTCAGAGTTGGTTGAAAGTACACGAGACAGAAGGTTCGGTTCTGGATACACATGACTACCAAGGCCACATGACATGGACTTTAAGAAAAAGAAGAAGAAACTCTGGTGGAAAGTTCTGGTTGCTCTTCTACTTCTGGACTTGGTACTCTGCCAGAACTTGATTTTTGCAAGCACATGAGTTTTACAAATCTGGCTTTTTTATATACAAATTGATTGTTTGTTGACTCTCAGGAAAAAACCTAATACTAGTAACTAGAAACATTCCATACAAATTAGGTGCTTACTCTCATTGTTCCGAGAACTCATATTTGCTGGCCTCCCGTTACCGGGGGCTCGAACTTCAACCTCTTGGAACTCTGCTCTCCTGTTTGCAGTTGTTGGTGCTCTGGGTGTTGATTGGTTTCCTGTAGGTTGTGTTGGAGATTTCTTGGAAGCACCACTGCCCATTACACACGGACAAGTGCCCGTCTGTATTTGGAAAACAAATATACAAGCAAGAATAAGTCAAAATTATTCTTATTCTGGACGACAAGAATGAGTCAAAAATTATTCTCATTCTGGATGACAAGAATGAGTCAAAAATTATTCTCATTCTGGACGATAAGAATGAGTCAAAAATTATTCTTATGCTGGACGACAAGAATGAGTCAAAAATTATTCTCACGTGAGATGACAATAATGAGTCAAAAATTATTCTCATTTTGGACGACAAGAATGAGTCAAACATCATTTTCACGCGAGACGACAAGAATGAGTCAAACAAAATTCACACTGGATGACAAGAATGAGTCAAAAATTATTCTCACTCTGGACGACAAGAATAAGTCAAAAATTATTTTCACTTTGGACGACAAGAAAAAGTCAAAAATTATTCTCACACTGGACGACAAGAATGAGTCAAAAAAAATTATCATGCTGGATGACAAGAATACCATTTATTTTAACCAACTTTTTGAAAATTATGAGCAGCTGGCTGAACATTTAAGAATGTTGGTCTTATATTTGGGAGACCCTGGTTTGAATCCTTGGTACAGTGATATTCATTTTTGATTGTGTGTGTTTGTGCCCGATTACATGTGTGTGTCTATGTGTGTGTGTGTGTCAGGAACAGGAATACAGTTTTAACCCACACAGTCTATGGCACTGCCCTAGCCATGCGCCCCTGATTTATCAGACTCAAGACTTCAGCCCCCGCCCCCCCCCCACCCCACTCCTGCCCCCTTCTCTCTCCCTCACCAAAGAGTCTCATTAAAGTCCTAAGACAAGTGGTGAATACCGGCACACACAAAAAAGAAATAATTTCTTGGACCTTCTTTGATCCTTCTGTCAGAAAATTCATATCAGGAGGCCGGTAGCCTTTATAAAAGCTATCGTGCAGTCCATATCCTCTCATGTACCATATAGTTTTGTCTTTATTGTGGTTGAAACAGGCCAGATTGCATCTCTGTTGTCAGCATACAGTTGATAATTTTGGAGCACATGCTCAGCATTTTCGGGTGCCACGCTGCAGGGACACGTCTCCGTGTTTCCTACACGGAAAGGTTTTAACATATGTTGATGAAGTCTGTTGTGCCCTGGCCTTAGTCTGAACATAATAAACTATGCATCTCTAGGAAAGCGATTTCTTGGACCTAATAGTTTATCTTTACCCATATTTGCTATTTGCCAGCAAGCTTCCTTATTAAAAACGTTTTAAGCTGAGCTAGAAGGAGGAGGGGAATGAGGAAAGAAGAAATTGTGAAATCAAACCTCTGTAGCTACTAAAACGTCAAGTCAGAAGCAAAGTGCGCAATAAGGATTGGGGTTGAAGAATCAGTCAAATGAGAAACTAACAAGACAACAAGGGCCACAACCATCCGATCTTTGACAACGATGCTAAACAATGCAAGCAATATTAAAGAGCTGTTTACATGAGGTGCTAAGCAACTTGCCCGCCATTTGTTGGTAAAGCAGACGTGAACAAATTTACCCTAGTTTACAAAGTAAATACAATAGCTATTTCTACTTCAATTTTATTTGCTTCCATACTTATTTCCTCATGTCATTTACTGATATGTTGTACACATACAAATGTGTAAGAAACTGTCGCTCCGTTCCTAATCCTTACGTTCTTTTTAGGATACAATTTTTTGTTATTTGAAGCTCCACCATGGCTTTTGCCAGGGGCCGCAATATAGCCCGGCTATAAATATGGTATAATGGCTGAACGCGGTTTCCGGGACCTCTCCACGGGTGATCCTCATCCACATGGTCGTACTTTGTGTCATCGGGTGTTTATCGCTCGTGTGATGTCCTAGTGGGGTAAAATGTACTACTACGTTCCATTATTTAGAAGCCCCACCCAGTCTTTTGCCGGAGGCCATAAATATGGCCTAACTGGTGAACGGGGTTTCCAAGATCTCTCTATGGGTGATCCTCATTCGCATGGTGGCACCGGGTGTTTATCGCTTGTGTGATGTCCTGGTGGGGTACAACTTACCGTACCTACCTATCTATCGTTCCGTTGCTCGCCAAAAAAAAAAATTGCCATGTTCAACGAGCATAAAATTGTGACTAAGTTAGGCCTATGTGCGCCATAAAAAATAACTAACAACTGAACGCGACTGAAAGCTTTGAAAAGGACTCTCCCAGTGTTGATGCGATCAAAAAAGACAGACCCAAGTTATGTCCCGACCGGCCACGAAGTCGTCTACCGGCAAACCAGTGTGCAACCCGGTCGCCGATGATGTGTAAGGCACAAAAATATAAAGTATATCTATGGGTAATGTAAGGACCTTTTTCTACGCCTTTCTAGCGCATTGGGCATTTAGGTCTAAACCTCTGTTTTATAGACCAATCGGCACTTGGTGGGAAGGTGATGTGGTTAACATCGCACCGGCTGCCTTCACTTCCCAGGACTATACCTGGCACCCACCTGAGAGCTAAGGCCCTCTTTGAAAAAGGCCCGGCTTTGTTACGACCCCCTAACCCACGACCTTCCGGTCCGTAGGCGCGCGTCTAGCCGCTACACCACGACAGCTCCCTATAAGAGTACAGGTTTCACTGAAAGCCTTTACATATATACCCTGACACCTGGGAGACTGCTGCACAAGACCCAACTTCATGGCGAGAATCTATCCCAAGAGGTACAGAGATCTGCGAGGCGTCTAGAAAAAGCACAGCTGGACATTGAAGACGGCTAGAAAGACCCGTATAACAACAGGTCCTTTACCTACAGACACGTTTCCTGTCCTCATGTCCTAGATCCATCCGGGTCCATTTTGGGCTTATAAGTCACCGCCGGGTTCCCAGAACTCAACTAGTTTCATGACGAATGAAGGAAAGAGTGGTTCTCATCACTTGTGATGAACGAACAACGTAGCCGTTGCGAGTCCGACTCGTAATTCCAACGTTCCGCGATCGAAACCCACTGCTGGCTGCGTGGATTTTTATCATGGTATGAGGCGTCGCAGGTCGACCCAGCCTAAAATAGGTACCAGGATGTATGTCCTAGAGAAGTAAAGACGGCCGGTGTAATACTGACCACATTACCCACGTATGGTCGATTGGTTTGTAAACATAAGTGCTCTTCCCATATGCCCGATGCGCCTAAAGGCGTGAAAAGGGATCTTTACTTACTAATGACAAGAGTAGCTTTGATAAACAATGTCCGACTTAAGTTCTTATAGTTCATGCCGTGTGACGCTGTTAGTCATGCTCAACACCACAACATCCTGCACTGCAAGTCAGTTCTCACACATATGATTTAGCATGCCACGTCAAACTGTCCAACATCTTCTTTCTCGGCCTCCCTCTGCCTCTTTTCCCCTCCAATTTTCCTACCGTCACGATGTACTCCAGTTTTCTCCATCTTGGGACACGACCCCAGAATGTTGATTGCTTCCTTTTAAAGCTGACAATCAGTTTTCCGCATCAGCCAGTTTCTGTCGATATATCTTCATTTCTCTTTTTATCTGTATAGGATTTTCTCATCATTCGTCTGTAAAACAACTTCTCCGCCGCTTCCTTTTTTTTCCCAACTGTCCATGATTCCCTTCGGTATATCATGATATGATTTATGCAACTTGGTGACAACAATTAATCCCAGTAAAATCCTGAAACATATCCACCTTTTCTTCTTGTTCCTCACATTCACCGTCTGTAAACTCCGACACAAAGTTCTGGTTGTTAATCCACTTCTAGGTTTTAGTCGGATTCCAGAAGTTGACTTTTGCGTACCTATCCATCCGCTTTACATATCTGGCTTATTTGTATGCAGAGTGATGATTTCTCGCCTCTCAGGCAGATGCACTCCAGCTTCGAAGGAAAAAACCCTTAAGTCGACTCTTGCTACCCCCCCCCCCCCCCCAGCCCCCCCCCCCCCCCCCCCCCCCACTTATTTTTCCAACTGAGACCCGGAACTCAAACGAAGATGTTGTGTGTCCTGTCAAGTACTATATTAGTGGTTCTAAACCTCCCTAAGGCAGCGACCCTTTAATACAGTTCCTCATGTTGTGGTGACCCACAGCCATACAATTATTTTAGTTGCTACTTCATAACTTCAGTGAATGTGTGTTTTTCAATGGTTTTAGGTGATCCTTCTGAAAAGGTCGTTCGATTCCCAAAGGAGTCGTGACCCACAGGGTGAGAACCGCTGTACTAGAGGTTTATCTGCACTTCTTGAGTAGCTGCAATCTTCCCTCCTTTAGCACCGAATAAGTTACTATATCAAACTCTACGCTGGCATCAATTAGTGCACATATGCAATTTATAACAATTGTTCTAGTAGTATAAAAGCCTTAGAAGAGCTGCAGGAGTTTCAAGGAAAGGCAGAATACGAAATCATGAAATCAGACGAATGCTATGAATAAAGCCAGTCATACAGGTCATCAAAGAACAACAAACTAAGTGGTTTGAACACCTAACAAGAATTCACTGGTACTATCTGCCATAGCGAGCCGCACTAAAACGTTACAACAGGTATAGAGCCAGTGGAAGACCTCGGAAAATATAAAGTGATGGCATTAAGAACAGCCTTACAAAAATGAACATCAGTCTCAATAGCGCTCTTGACAGAGCTCATCAACGAACGTTACATCTCCCCCCGACACTTCGCTGAGGTACAAGGTGGAAGAGAAGAAGAAGAAGAAAAAGTTCTTGTAGTATTTATTCTTCGCGTTTTTTACCCAAACAGCAATAATTTGACGTTCAAGATTCTAAATTCGGCATTAAAGTTTAATTTCTTTTGACTTTCGCAGATTTCATAATTTTATGCTCCTCTTGCCCTTTGCACTCATATTTATTTCTCTATATTTTAACAGAACTGAATCAATTATGCTTCAGACAGAAGACAATCTTAACGGCTATTATCTAGTAAACCAACAATACAAGGACATTTTCTACTACCACCCACCTCTCCGCGCCCTTTGAGGAATAGCAGAAACTATACTATACGTATTGATCAACGC